GGGGGGGGGAGCACTCACCGACAGGTCGTCGTAGAACATCGCGACGGGGTCGAAGGCGGGCATGACGGACGCGGCGGCGTCCTGCACGCGCGCGTTCGCGTACTTGCCCTTCGGCGCCCATGCGGACGGGTCGGCGTCGAGCTTCTGGTGGGCGCGCGTGGAGAGCGCCGGGTTGAGCGCGATCACAAAGTCGTAGTGGTCCGTCGGGTGGTGGAAGAGGGCCTGCGACGGGGAGCGATCAGCGGGTGGGCGGTACGGAGAGGCGCGGGGACACTCACCTGCACGCTGGAGGTGCCGCTCTCCAGCGCGTGTAGGCACGCCCACGTCGCCTTCGCGAGCGCGGTGATGCGCCGTGCGACGACGGCGTTTGGGCCCGCCGACGTCCACATGTGCCCGCGCGGGTCGAAGGGCGTCCGCAGCGCCCACGCGACGTCCTTCGCGGTGGTCGTAGGGGGCACAACGGCCGGGGCGTCGCGCGCGGTCTGGTCCGCGTTGTCCAGCGAGATATCCAGGCCGCCGGCCCATTCCCAGTCTTTCAGGAACGCGATGACCTGCGCGAAGCCGCGCTCCTTCGAACCCGGGGCGAACGTCTTCGTGTTAGCGGCGGTGTCCGCGGCGGAGGGCGGACCCGTGCGCAGGAACACCTGTGCGCAGAGCAGCTCGACCGCCTCCTCCGAGACATGGCCGCGCAGCAGCCAGTGGGCCGCAAGCCACCGCTTCGTCAGCCTGACGGTGTTCGAAAATGCTGGGAACCGATGGTAGAGCGCCGCGATCGCGCGGTGATGCCGGGGAGCGTGGATGAACCGGCGCGTATACAGCTCGCGCGCATGCAGAGCAAGCTGGCGCTCGCGTGCGTCCTCGCCAGTCTTCGCCTGGCGCAGGGCCTTGGGGACGTGCGGCTGGTCGTTGATGATGCGGTCGAGGAGCGTCGCCTCGCGGTCGTGCCAGATGCGCGCGCGGAACGCCCAGCCGTCCGCGGTGATGATGTCGAGTGCGGCCTCGTCCGCGATCTCCGTGCGCGCCGGGCCCGCGCCGAGCACGACGGTCGCCTGGAGGCCCTTGACGGCGTGCATGAGGATGCTGGCGAGGCGCTCGAAGAACGCGAGCTTCATCTTCTGGATCGCCCGCAGGTCGTCGGGCCACCGGGCGGACTTCTCGAACTCGATGATGATGTCCATGGCGGGGAGATACGAAGTGGGCTTCGGGAGTGCTGAGCGGGAGGCGATGGCAAGTGTGGCGGGGACGAAAACGTCGGTGTATCGAAGTGCGGGGGAGGCGGGGCTGACGTTGAGCACCGCGAGGGGAAACTGCTCATCGAGCGCCCTGAAATGCTTGACGAGCGCATCGAACGCCGAGAGCGCGGACTTGAAGCCGACCGACGCGCTCGAAGCCTGGTATAGGGACGAGATCGACTCGGGCAGCTTCAGCAGCGTGTCGAATTCGGTTTGCCAAGTTTGTACAGCGTCCGCCCCAAGGCCGAAATGACGCGCGAGGAGATGGTGCGTGATCATGGCGGGAATGCGGGCGCGCTCGTCGGCGTTCTTGACGTCCCACACGACGCTCTCCGCGATTGAGCCGTCCTTGAAGCGCCTCAGCTCGGCCTTGTCGCCCCAGAACTCGCGGAACTGTCTTGTCCTCTCGCTCTCTTGTTCCTCGGCTGGAGGACCGTGGTCGACGAGCCGGAAGGCATGCTCGCTGTCCAGGATGATTCCAACGTGCACAACAGATGACTGTGTCGGGAGCGCTTGCGACGTCGGCCGGACGTCTGAAGAGGCATGGAGGACGGCTATGGACTTGGCACGATCCCCGAGACCTTGGCGCAGCGTGGAGACGAGTTGTGCGACTGCTGCGTTGTAGGCCGAGCCATGATCGGCAACATGTTGCGCAGACACTGTACGCACCTCCACAGACGACAGGTCCACTCTACAACCCCACAGTGAGTATCAAAGTGCAAATACGCACAAATGAATGGCATACCGTGCGACTACGTCGAAACGTGCGAATACGTCGCGGTGCTCCTGCAAGAACAAAGGGGCGAAAGTGTCTTCAGATATAGAAGCGTGGTCCAAAAGCTCCAAGGTTGATTGAGCGTCGTATCTTAGCTGCAAAGGTATGTTAAACGTGTGTGCTGAGACACGTATAACCTTTCTCACCGTATCGAGAGAAGCCAACGGGACGTCCGCCAATAGGTTGACCGACGACGTCGCATCCACGAAGACAGCTTCATGGCTCGAATAACTGCTAGGAGGGAACTGCAGCGGCACATGCAGTATGAGTGAAACAGAGCCGAGCGGATAAGTAAGATCACAAACATACCCGATGTCCGTCCTTCGACTTTACGAATACAGCCTCCTCGCCAAAGTTGTGTCGCGCTAAGCTGGATGTGAACAACATGAAGCGTGCCAAGTATTGATGGAAACATACCGAGGAAATCTAAGGCGGCCTTAAAGAGCTGATACGAGCTCAAACCCTTCCCCAAAGGCTTGCGTCTGGCGCCCCTCTTGCCCAGGCCCGCAGGAGGCGGCTCCTCGCCGTTGACCATGAGATCCAAAATCGACGCCCACCATATGCCCTTGCCCTCAAAGCCACGTACACACATGCGGCTCCCTAGACCGTAGCCGCGCTGGTTCGCCCAAACTCGGAGCAGTGTGAGTGCATCGACGAAGGAAGGCACATTCTTTGTCAAAGCGTGTATGTGAAGCGAGTGAGCTCTCGGTGTGGTCATGAGCATATACGCAGTGTTGTACAAGGGCGTCGGCTCCTCCTTGGACTCATCCTTGAGGGTGGTTGCGCGAATATTGGACCGCGCGGGGGATAGCCGCTGAAGCGGGATGGGCGACTCGCTGATGAAAGGGATAATGCGGACGTGTATAGGGACCTTGCCCGAACTTTTACGCGAGCCGTCTACAACGTGTTAGCTCTGTGAGTGATTCAACAATTGCCGGAAACATACCAGGTTCTGGACGAAGCACAAGGCAGGTCCTGCGCGGGTCACCAGAGACGGACTCATAGAAGAGCTCACAGCGAAGAGTGGACTTGGCCTTAGCTATCGCAGAAGCGACGACACCTAGGTAGTAAGCGCGTTTTTGGAAGACTCGGCTGTTGAGATAGTCTTTCTCCTGAAATAGATTCTACAGAGACGCATAAGAAGTGCAACGGAAAGCTTAAGGGTGTACTCACCGAAGGCATCTCTACTGCGAGATCGACCGTGAATGGAGCGGAGTCCTTGGCCTTTACGGCAGTCTTCGTGATCCAGCTGCCTGCCAACATTATCTCAGAGGGCTTCTCGAAAGAGACCTTCCAGTTGGTCTCTTCCGTCGGAAGGGGGCGCACATAGGGCACGTCGATGCCCTGTTTGGAGAGCGCTCTTGACGCATGAAGTGGATGCTGAGGTGCGATGGCAGGCAGTTCCATGAGGAGCTTGTGAATAGACAAGAGGAGAGTATCCAACGGTTGTGACTTGTCGTATTTCGGGCGGACGTTTGGGAGCATAGCGTCGATCTAAGGCGTATGGTTACGTATGCCGTAGTGCAACAGAACGGATAGACACGCACCTGCGACTTGAATGAGGTGGACCTGAAGAGTTCGGACGCGTCCTTGATCTTCCTGAGCTCTTCTCCAGTAGGTGGTTTCAGTATGTGCGACTTAGATGGACCAGCCTCTGCAGTGTGCGCCGGCGTGGCCTCGATTCCACCCCAGGCCCCCTCTTCCGTGTCCTGGTCACTGCCTGAGCCCATGCTCTCCTCAGCGGAAGAATGGTCGCTAATAGCATCCTCGTCCGCGTGTAGACGCTGCGGTGCATAACGGTTTGAGTACTCCGCGCTTTCGAGTGATGGGCGGACGCACCTTTGCCTTTGGTGCAGCTTGCACTCCCCGCTTCCTCTTCAAATCCTGAGCCATGTCTGAGAATGAAATCTTGCACCAGCCGTAGAAGGGAGTGTGGCGGAAGGAGGACCGGACGGAGAGCCGCTCGTCCAACTTTTTCGCGCAGGAAGGATTGACGCCCAAGATCGGGAGGGCGATCATGGCGGGCGCCTGGAGAGCCAGGCACGGACGCTGCACTGCTCCCGCTCACTCACACCCATCCACAACGCACACGACCGGCCGGTGCACTGGACCGAGGCTTACAATCCGTGCTCAGTGTAATTTCAATGGCGTTCGTCTGCCCAGCAGTACATATTGCCAAAACGCATACACAAATACATGCACCCTGTGCGCCGCCCGTTGCAGACTACATACTCAGTGGTCTGCGGCGTGCGCGTTCAGATTGCGAAGTGGAACTGACGGGGCGCTTGCGGCTGGCAGTAAAAATTAAACTGTTTGGCAGGATAGACAGCCCGAAGCAGCCGGGCTACAAAAAACGCCATCCCTACCACAACTAACTCGCCCGCTTGAACCGGTCCAACGCCGAGTACTTCTGCGGGCCCTCCTCCCCACTGGAAACCGCGCGCGCCTTGCGTCTCGCCTCCCGCGCCCCCTCCAGACTCTTCTTCACCGCGAGCGCGCGCGGGTCGACGACGTTCTTGCGTTGCTTGCGCAGGTAGCGCTTCATGCTCTTGTTCTTCCCGCGCATCCGGTTCCGCTCCTTCTCCGCCTTCGACTGCGTGCTCACCGCGCCGTCGGGTGTGGCGCTTTCCTCGGTCTCGTCGGCCTTGCCGGAGGCGCGCAGCCGCTCGTAGCGGGGGAGACGCGCGTACGGGATGGAGTGCGCGCCGTCCACGGCGGTGCTGAGCACGGGCGGCGGGGCGAGGGAGCCGATGAAGGACGGGTCGAGCGTGATCGCGTCTGGTTGGATCTGCACGCGATATGTGAGCAAATGCGGTACACTGCAGGAGGCGAGACAAAACAAACCTTGTCGAGGAGACCCTTGACTTCGCGCTCGCGGCGCGCCTTCTTGTTCTCGAACGGGTCCGCCTCGGCGCTGTCAAAGTTCGGCTCGCCCGCGCCAGGAACGAGGATGCTCGAGACGCCTGCAGCGTGCGCGACGGAGAGCACGTCCTGGAACGGGCAGAAGCGCACGGACGTGAGCGGGCGGTGCGGGATGGCGTGCGTGAGATAGAGCGGGGGCGCGACGTGGGGCGCAAAGGGCGTCTGGATGGCCGGTTTCGCGTAGACCTGTAAACGTGGTTAGGGAGATCGGGGGCAAGGGGGGCGGAGAGGGGAGAGCGTACGTTTACGCTGCCGCCCGTCGCGACGGCGAGTGCGCCTTTTTGACTCCATTCGAGCTCGGCGCTGCCGCCTCTCGCGTTCCAAGTCCGGACGGCACCTTTCCAATTCCGGCAGTCCCAGACTTTGACCGTACCGTCCTCCCCGGCGGAGGCCATATACCGCCCGCCGGTACTAGGGTCTACGGACACGCTTGCAACAGGGCCCATGTGAGCAAGGAGGCGGACGGCGGGGTGCGGGAGATTGGGCGTCCAGAGGGTGACGGTGCCGTTCTGGTGCCCGAGGTGTATGACGGCGTTGTGGGGGTTTTGACACATAGTTTGGCATGCACCTAGTTTTGTGCGGTGCTCGACAACCAGTTGGCCGGTGGACGTGTCCTGGTACTTGAGATACCCGGGGTTGCCCTGTGGAGTGATGAGACAAAGGAATGGAGGTCCTCGGGGAGGGCATACGCACTATGCTGACGAGGAGCCAGTGGTAAGGCAAAAACTCGAGGCGGGTGGGCTCGATGTGCGATTTGAGTTTGTGCAGCTCTACGCCGTCGCGGTCGTATATGAAGACATATTTACTCTGCGCGACGGCAAAATGAGAATGGTCCTGCAGGAACCTGGAACATGGGTCATGGCGCGGTCAGGATCTGGGCGGCTTGGAACTCACGTTATGTCGCGACAGGTCTCCCCTAGCTGTAGCTCTGCGTGTAGCGTGCCAGTCTGCCAGTCGAAAGTCGCTACATGGCCCTTTTTCCCTACCACAGCTATATGCCTAGCAGTTTTTGGAGAGTGAGAAGCCATATTTGCTAGTGTTCAAGTAGCTCACTGACCTTCCGTTTCGTGTGTACCGTGTGCGATACGGCCCGCCGTCCATTTTCCACTCCTGCCGGCCCTGCGCGCCCTGCTGCCCCGCCGCCGCAGCGACCTCGTCCTGACCCACCCGCCACGTCTTCTCCATCTCGCCCTCGACCTCCATGAGCCCCGCCTCCTCCGAGAGCAAAAGTTCAGCGTCCTTGACGAGCAGCCGCGAGCGCGCATTTTGCGTGGACTGGCGCGTGAGCGTCGTGCGCAGCTTCTTGTTGTGGATGTGCCCATATTTCTTCGCATTTTCTGGGGGAGGTGAGGATGGCCGCAGGGAGCGAGGGAGCGCAGTGTGTTGAGAGACGGAGGCGGCGGTCGGGTCTGCGGCGGGGGCAGCAGCGGGTTTCTTTGACGAACCGGGCTTGGGACGGGAGTCGCGCCCGTCTGTGCGCCGCTTTTTGTTGAGCGGCTTGATCGCGTCGGCCTTTGCGAATAGCGAGTCCATCGTGGTAGACAGTGAGGAAAAGCAGTTGGTGGTTGCCGATCAAGCTCAGCTCGCGCTCGCTTTCCTCCCGGCGCTTGCTCAAATTTGCCACAGGTGCACAGACGCCCATAGTACTCCCGGGCCGGCGCAACCGCGCATCCTTTCGACAACGGCCTCAGCATTCAGGCTATCGACACGCACACCGTCCTCAAAGTTCCTCCAAAGTGCACATCAATAACCCAATAAAAACACTGCGAACGACAGCAACAAATACATCTAATGTTACAACAAGCGGCTAGTCTACCAAGTGTTCGGCCTGCAGCGCACACATTAGCACATGCATATTCGGCACTAGATGGTAAGACACAAAAGACGCACCCAAAGTGATCCCCTTCGACGACGGAGCGGAGCGGCACCCCGTTCCAGTCCGCGGTATTTGTGAACACGTTGTTTCCCCACCATGACTGGATCGTGTTCATCCCTATCTGCCCATTCTGCGGATATTGCAGGCTGGAGCGGCAGCGTCAGCGATCGTCGAGATGGGGGAGCAGAGGAAACAATGGCCTACATGAAGTACACTAGGATCGTCGAGATGGCGGTCCCCGCGTCAAGCGCGGCGGAAAGCACGTCTGCAGGTCACTCGCGTCAGCGTTGAGTACGGGGATGGAGGTTAGTACGTACAGTTGTACTTCGCCCAGAACGGGAAATGTCGTCTTCGGATGACATACTGGAAGAGGAAGCCGATGATTGCCCACGGCACGTAGTTTACCGCGCTTGCAGGCGGGATGTAGCCGATGCCGGTGAACATGAGGCTTCAAAATCGTCAGCAAGTCGTCAGATTGACCTGACGGTCGGCGGAACTCACGGGAAGCTAAAGAGATGCAGAGCTCTGTCAGTCATGGAGCGCGTAGAGGAGGCAAGGAACACTTACTTCACATAATTTAACCACGAGTCGGGATACCTCTGCGTGAGCAACCATATCGCGAGCGGACACACGGCTCCAACGATGAAGAAAAATAATAGGGCTGCTGTGGTGTCAGTTCTCGTCCCTGCCAAAAATATTTCGTCGACATACGACTATCCGGCATGTCAGCAGTAGTCGTCGTCAAACTCAGAAGAGACGTACTAGTAGAGCTGGTTCTGGGAGAACTGTAACGAAGGGCCGACCACGCCGAACTGCATAGGTACGGCATTAGTGAGCATCCGAGAGCGACTTGTAGTGTACACTCACCAGAATGGAAGCTGTGGCAAAAACCTCCGTATTTGGACATGTGAATCCGGAGCTGTAACTCACAGTCAGTGGTGGGCTATAGATAGTGACCTTCAGGCGTACATGTCTTTCTGTGCAGGAGAACAAATCTCTCTGTTCCATGTCAGTATCGTGGCATAGCCGATTTTGTAGAATGATGCTTACGGGATGTTGGAGAACATCCTGTCACATCGTCAGACCGTGCAGCGACACTCACGAAACTACAAACGCACCAGTTCTCCACTCCAAGCTGCACGGTTCCAGCAACGACGGTCGCGGCGATCTACACATATCGACCATCAAACAAACCGCCATCTGACCAACCTGTCCATCAGGAACGCACCTGGCACCAGAACATCGGGCGCGGCGGGATCTTCATGTAGTGTCCCAGCTTGAAGTCCGACGTGAAGATCATCGCTGTTGAGGGCTCTCAGCCACTGCTGCAGCGGCCCTTGATGTATGAAAAGTACACACCTTGGGACATTGTGATATATCCCCACGTCTTCAAAAGACGGCGGAAGAGCCGTCAACCGGGAGTCCTTGGGGACCGATAGGGACGTAAGCTGCTTACCTTGAACATCATCATCGCGAGAGGGCGGCCCGGGAGCATGTAGCCGACGATCAGCTCCGTGATCACGCTGCAGGAGGGGATACCTGGTCAGAGGTGCTCGGAGCATGTGTGGGCCGCGCAACGTACTTTAGGCCGACTTGCCGATTTGTGACGGCTTGGATCATGCCTATCGCGGGGTAAGACGGTTGCTACCAGGAAATATAGAGGTCAACATCGAGGGCACGCACCAACTGGGACGATGTATACCTGACATTCGGCGTTAGTATGGAGCGAGCACAGATACAGGTGAATGGACTTACGAGGGCGATGAGCAGCGCGACGATCAGCGCCCATATTGTCATCTGCGTCGGGAAGAGTTCGATGGCCAGACACGCGAAGACGAAGGTAACAGCTGAAGAGAACGGTCGGCAAGAGGTACCGTGGCAGGCGAGGGCGGTACGCACCTAGTATACATCCATACCTGCGCAACGTCAATTTACGGTTCAAAAGATGGTGGATGCGTCTATAAGACTTACCACCACTCGGGAACTGATACGGTTGAGTCAACGGGCATGATCCAAGGCGTTTTCTATTTTTAGGCTCACCTTGAGGATACTTCGCCATAAGCTGTGCATGGACATCAGGCTGCTCGGCGAGCGACCTCTGCAGGTGCACCATGATCGGCTTGCGGAAGTAGAGGGCGGCGTGGACGATCGTTGCCGTGATGGACGCAAAGGCGAGTCCATAGGAGATAGCAAATGTTGCGCTGATGGTAGCGGTGCATGGATCAGTATACAACGCTGAGAAGTAGCGGGAGGAAAAAATATGCATACGAAAGAAATAGCGGAGAGTAGGCTTTGTATGCTTCGTGGTTAAATGTTGAGTCAGCGTTCAGAATCCTAGTTAGGTTGTACGGTTTTCCTGGAGCCAAGAGCGTCAGCTTTTACCGCGAGATGTAGTGAAATGAGACGGATGACATACCGGTGTTATCAAATGGTCCTAGTGCAGATATACTAAGAGGGCGTTAGCTAACACGCGGTATCGAGAACGCGCCGTACGTACGGCATATATTGGGAGTGCCATGTGTTCGTGAACTGCGGGGGTGTCAATCACGGCAGGCGCCCTGGGTCGAATATACGTACGTAGAGAATGGGCGCAAGGAACCCTACAAACATGGCAGGTCAGCAGTCAGCTCCCCGGGCCTTGGACGGATGTAGAATTTGAGAAGCTCACAGTAGAAAATCAAGAAACCGACAATGACGTTGGCCTCGGCCCACCCTGGGAATTAAGTTTAGATGAGGCATGGTGTAGGCGGTAAGGAGGACAAGGGGGACGTACAGGGTGTCGAAAGAGGACTGCCGATGAATGCAATCTGATTCCAGTCAAAGGAGAGCAGGGAGAACCCCATGCCACTACGGTATCTGCAGGCCATCGCTCAGCCGCTGTGTGTCATTTCGGATTGGTCAAGCGACTCACCCAAAAAGCGTGTTGACTTTCTGTGGAGCAGTGTAATGTTGGCAATGATGTATGCATCCGAACATGGGATGTGGGACTCACGATATTATTTGGCCATATCCAGCAGACCTGCGCAACGGTGTTTAGTCAATTGGCCAGCGATAAGGATGCGGAGACGTACCCATGTGAAGACGCTATACCGCCGCAACCACCGCAGGTTAGCAGCGGGCCGAGCGCGGCCAACGCCAGACTGACGTACCTGAGAGCCTGAAAGAGGTAGCCCGGGACGATATCTAGCGGTGACAGTGATGAGCTATAATCAGACAGGGCAGTGCGAGCGCCCGGGGCTGTCGGGACTTACACCACAGGGCCGCAGAGAGGAAAGCGAACGCAAAGAAGCGCTCGCGACTGAGCCCGCTGTGCGTGCCGATGCCGGCGTAGCTTTGCGAATGGAGAGTATTGAAGAGCGCACAGAGGACAAGGGTATTCGGCCAGACTGCATGACGATTGGGTAAGCATGCTCAGGCAGCGTGAAAAACATGAGGAAGCGTGGGACGTACTCATGGACGCTGGGGCGACTAGCTGTTATCGAAAAACATAAGCAGAAATAGTGAGCGGAGGGAAACAAGACGCGCCCGGGTGCGAGAGGAAATCGTACCAGTCTGCGTGCGAGGCCGCCAACGGAAAAGCCGATGAGCTGAGGATGCGCGTTAGGGCTGTACTGTTGCTAGGTCAGCCTACCGCTTACCTGTGTCGACATTACCAACATCCATTGGTCTGCAACAAGTTAGCGGGGCGAATCGCACGGATGAAATTGGGCCTACATGCAAAGTTGAAGTCTTGCTTGTACCATACGTGTTGCACCGCGATGATCTCCGTCTAACATAGTCGTATTGGCGGCGGGTCAAAGAAGCAGATGATATGCGAGATACATACCGCATATGCGGCTTGTGCGCCCACTCCACCCATGATGGTGATCAGGACCTACAAAGCTAAGCATCAAGCTTCTACGATCATAGCGGCTGCGCTCTTACATGTTCCTTGATGGTGAAAAGTCCGGGGTTGAGGGACACGCCGAAGACCTTGACGGCGGGCACCCATCGCGCCCACGCGCGACCCATCGGAAAGCTGACAAGTTGTGCTACGATCTAGCGGCGCGCATTGGTGTCTGTGAGCATCATGCGAACAGAAGCCACCTACTCCAGTGACCATGATGGACGGATATCGGAAATAGTAGAACTCGTTCACGCCGGGGATGATGATCGCCCAGAAGAGGCCGAGCACCCATGCCCGGAGGGTGTTGACGGGCATGGAAGGGTCGTCAAAGTTGGCGACGGCGGAGCGCACCTCTGGATAGGGAGAATCATCCTCTGTTCTCGGGGGGAAGTGGACAGCGCTTGTCAGGTTCCGCGGATCGAGACACGCGGAGACAGGGACGTACCGAGCCAGGTGATATCGGTGTCGTAGTTCGGGTCGAAGAAATCGGGGGGCTCGGTGATGCGTGATGAGAGGGACTCGGAATCATAGTGGACGGAACCTACAGAGCAGGGCGTAAGAGGGGAGTGCGCGCGCGAGCAGCAGGATGGGGCGCACGTATGGACTTTTCGCGGCCAAAGGAGCTACCAAACGACCCGGAGACGGACGCAGAGTCGGGCGCGGAGTCGTGCGCGGAGTCAGGCACTGATTCTGCTAATGATGAGGCGGAGCCACGGTGGTCCTCCTGGACGAGCGCGGACATTTCATGCCAGAGGGAGGGACGCGCGAGGAAGATCGAGTGTGTGCACAGACAGAGGCTGCGCGCGAGATGAAGCAATAGATAGATGCCGAGATCTCAGGGAACACAGAGAGCGGTCAAGAAACGAGGCGTGAGCGAGATGAGGGGGCGCAGAGAGGATGCGAAGGAGAGCGGAGGCAGAGAGGGGAGGGCAGACGATAGCAAGTGTTCGGGAGAAGAGGGACGCTGACGCGAGAACGGGCGGTCAGCAGGACGCCGGGATATTTTGGAGAGAGGAGATGCTGCGCGGCAGAAGAGGGAGAAAGGATCCGCGCGGGGGGAACACGGCGAGCTGCGAGCGAAGCGGCGACGATGGGAGAAAGAGGAGAGGGGGGACGCAGCGGGAGGAGCGAGCGAGAGGAGGACGGGGCTCGCGCGAGGGACCCCGCCACGTGCGCGATAAGCGTCGGGTGCTGATCCGTCTCGCTCTCATCCACTCCGTCCACCCCCTCTCCTCCTCGTCGACATATCAACAGCCTCACCGTGCCATGGTGATCCCCATATAAAACATAGCTCATCGCTCCGCCCGCGCGCGAGTCGCCCCCACCTCCGCGCACACACACACCCCCGCTCCTCCTCGTCCCCGCGCCCGTCGTGCCGGTGAGAACACCCAAGACCGGCAGGGGATGGCGTCAACCCCTCCGTCTAGTCCCGGGCACACACAAGCCAGGCACGCCAGTCCACAGGCCCCGAGCCATCTTCTCTCTCCGCAGCAGCACTTGAGCCTGCCACACACTCCCGCCACAAGCAACACGTCCATATGCTTCCGCACTTTACCGCAGATACCACTCCGATAATAGTCCAAGTTCCGCGGTATCGTATTCCTATCGTGAACCTACGTACAACAGGAAGCGCGGCGAAATATAGAACACTACGTGCTGTCCAAGCTAGGAAACCGCGCCCACACCCGACGCCAAACCTTCAGATGAGCGCGAACCGACTAAAGTCCAGCGTCGCCTCCTCTATCGACATCTTCCGCACCACCAACGCCTCGACGATAAGCCGCGGCTCAGCGTGCCCCGCCGCGCCCGTCGAGCGAACCCCGTCCACGAGCTGTCGCGCTTCTAGCACGGGCGACGCTTCTCCGCACGTGTTCCTGCCCACCTCCACCGCCGCGTGCAGATCGCTCGCGCCCGACGCCAGCGTGCTCGCCTCCTGCCCGATCTCCGCGGCCAGCGCCATCGTCGCCAAGTCCCGCGCTAGGCCCGCCGTATCCAGCGGGACCGATGCGGGGAACTCAGCGATCGCGCCCACAACTCCCGCCTCGCCCTCGGTAGCGCGGGCGATCAGGGCCGCACGCTTCTCTTCCCGCTTCTTATCGCGCGCGACCCGCCGCTGCAGCGCCTTCTCCTCTTTGCTGAGTTGCGGCTCCGCCGTCGCTTTCGCGCCCTTGGCGTTCGCGACGTGCTGATGCCACGGCTGCACCTTCTTCTCCTTGGGCTTGCTGTATCGCTTCCCGTGCCTGCCAGCGGTCGCGCCCAGAGCGGCCGAAGCCCCTGGGCGGATGCGGTGCCGAACAGGGCGGGGCTTGTAGACGGCGGATATCTCGAGGCCGGCGTACGACGAGTGACGCGGGGGTCCGAGCTCGAGTTCGAGCTCGTCGTCGCCGTATGTGCCGCTCGTGGGCGCGTCGTCGCGGAACGCGGGCTCGGGTTCCATTGAGAATAACGCAAGATCGTCGTCTATTGGAGTAATGAAGGGAGAAGACTGGGCTGTGGGACGCTCCGGGTTCGTGCGGACCGGGCGGTGCACGATTGCCGTCGTCCGGGCGTACACGGAGGTGGGAGTGGCAATGCCAGGCGTGCGGCCGCTGGACACGGACGATGCGATATCGTCGTAGTCGGTGAGGTCGGTCGTCAGGTCTGTTTCGGTCTCAGTTGCGGTAGTGGAATAGTCTTCGTCGGCTGGATGAGCACGGTGCTTCATCTTGCGGTTCCAGTCGCCAGTGTCGGGGTCGTGCAGGCCCGACTCTTTGTCGGCGAGGGCCGCTATCGTGGGTGGGACCTCGATCTCTTTGACGACGATGACCGACGCGCCGATTTCGCCCGCCATCATCTCGAGGGTCTCCAGAGACTCCTCGAGGTCAGAGCGGGCGAGACCAATCAATGCGCCAGAGTCTGCGACGCCGAGCTCGTAGTAGGCCTGGCCACCGCCCTCAAGGAGGCGCCATTTAAGTTGAGTAACCAAACGGGCGAAGCGGGCGTTGGATATGTTGGTAAGCTTGAGCTTGTACTCAACGTTGCCCTGTAAGGGACGCAAGTTATTAGTATAAGGTCGTAGATAGATAGATATAACGAAGGTCAAGGGGTCAGCACGCAATAAGACAGGATGCAGCGGCATGTGCTCGTCAAGTTGCCGCTCGCGCTTCCGGCACTGGAGAAAGTGTATCTTCATTATCCGCTTTGGCCAACCTTTTTCCACGTCGCACTCTCTAGCGTCTCCGTCTGACCTCGACCGCAAGTCGAATCCCTCAGGGCCCAACCGCGGTCTAGCGGGTATCCGGCCAGGGCCCTACCAGGTCATGCACACCGACCCTGGCGGCGGCGAGTAATCTTGGCTCTCAGAAGAATGTGCTCGGCTAGGTGCATGGACGAGTGGTATAGGGCTAGGAACGAAGTGAACGCACCTCTTCGACCTCTGGTACGAGCTTGGGTATGCCATTATGCAGCGGTGGGCTTGATCGAGGCGGGGTACCGTCTGGGGGAGACGGTAGGAATAGGTCCCATGGGCTAGGAACCCGAGGGCTTTCCGACTCGTGCTCGCCAAACATAGCGGGTGGTTTGAGAGAAGGGTTGAAGGTGTTTGGTGTTTGTTACTTTATAGATGATTGGTGTATTCGAAAAGACGACGGCAGGTTTACGCAGATATTCGAGTTATCATTGTGTGTGTTCCGTAGGAGTATGAGGTTCTTCAAGGTCGACAGTCTGGGCGGGCTCTTCGGTGCTGGGGGCAGAGAGGGGGCTCAGAACATGGCGGTGTGGGGAAGAGAGAGTCACTTCGTTCGCCAACGTGCGCCCACATCATCCCCTTTGGGCTGCTGAGTCAGCATGTCGGCGCCTGTTCCGTCCACCTTGCCGGCGTTTCTCTCAACCTCGCGCTCACCTCAGCCACTCCCTCCGACATCCTCCCCTCCTCACCCCCAACCACACACCACACTATGGCGCCCGCTCACGTATCCCCAGTACGTGCCTTATCTTCTTATGTGAAGCGAGATGCTGAGAAAAGGTGGAGATGACGCTTAAGCGCATCCACCGCGAGATCGCCGACCTCAAGAAGGAGGACCTCGGCGCCATCAAGCTCTCGCCCTCCGACGACGACCTCTTCCACTGGAACGCCACCATTCCCGGTCCAGAGGGAAGCGTATACGAAGGAGGAGTCTTTCAGGTGGAGATTACGCTGGGCCATGACTACCCGTACGCATGCGCAGTTAGGTTGTGGCTGAGGGGTCGCGTGCTCATATTCTCCCCTCCCGCGTAGCTTCTCCGCGCCTAAGCTCGCATTCAAGACGCGGTGAGTGACATTGTTTCGTTGACGTTCTCAAGAAACTAGGGCTCATTCTACCCAGTATATATCATATGAATATTAACGAGCGTGGTGGAATATGTATCGATATCCTCAAGCACAACTGGTCTCCCGCCCTCTCGCTGTTCAAGGTCATCCTCTCGCTCTCCTCCCTGCTTACGGACCCAAATCCCAGTGCGTCCCTTCCCTCTACTGCCTCCGTACTAATATTGATCACCTCTACTTCGCCGCAGAGGATCCGTTAGGTATGTCCTGCTCGTGGCTCCTCGGGAAGCACGCCTGACACGTCCCTGCAGTCCCGAGCATAGCAACAGAGTACGTCCGGAACCGCGTCCTGCACGACAGCAACGCGCGCCGCTGGACAGAGCTCTACGCCCGTCCCTCCGCCGCCACGAAGGGCAAGGGTAAAGCCCCCGCACCGCCCGTCGCCGCCCCTTCCCGGCCCGCCGCATCCGGCCGGTCAGCGTCCACCCGCCCCGCCTCGCGGCCAGGGTCGGGTCGCCCGACGCCCTCGCGGACGGCGACCCCGGGCGACACGATCACGATAGACGATTCGGACGACGAGCGACCCGCGCGTGCCGCAGCGCTGAGGACGAAGCGGAAGCGGGATATGGGCAACGGCGCGGTCGATATCGACCTCTCGGAAGAAGTGGCGGACGAGATGGCGGAGCGGCCCGCACGGAGAGCACGGTTGGGCGCAGCAGGAGCAGGGGCGAGCGGGGGGACGGGTCCGAGTGAGGTCATCGTGATTGAAGACTAGGTTCGGGGCCTGCCGTGTTTGGTGGGCTGATTGCGCTGCGCAGGAAGGACTCTATGGAGGATCTGCGGGTTCGGAGAATACATGCCTAAAGAGATATCAGCGGCGGTTTTTGGGTGTGTGTGGATCAGGAATGGATGGCGCAGCTTCGCAGGTGAGTTCTCGGCGCGACTGAGGTACGCGTTGGGTTCGGCTCGCCCAGCTGTCAAGCGTTGTGATAGTTCTACTGAATTGAATCGCGGCTACAGAGATAAGCTAGTTCTACATTACGAGGTCGGTCATGGTACTGGTAAGTGTGTATAGCGGGTGTTCACATGTACACCCCAGCTGGATATATATAGCGCTGTGCTCGAACGAGCAGTGTGTATGCAGTACGATGGAGAGCGAAAGAGAGGAAGTGGAAGCTTGTAAAGCAAAGCAAGTGTAATATCTACGCGTTCGCCCTCTCCGAGTCGGTCTCGCTGGGCTCCTTCTCGTTCCAGCTGTCGGCCTTGCCCAAGAGCCACGCGGGGTGGAAGAAGTTAAGCGTGAACATAGCGAGTACAATCATAGCGCCGTCGAGCACGTCTGTCAGATAGGATTGAGATGTTAGTTAGTCATCCGGTGTGTCATGGTCTGCAGCGCTGGGCTTACTGAAGTAGACCTGCGTCTCGATAATCCGACCGCTCCATCCGTCCGTGAGTTCCTGACATAGCCGTAGATCAGCGACTCGGACTTAACAAGTGTAGCGCGCCCGACGGGGACGGGCGGAACACGGCGATACTTACAATCGTACGGTAGATAGACCTGTGCACACAATCATATGTCAGAAACGCGTGGTGGTGGAAAACAGCGGGCGCTGGGCGCTGCGGAGACGTACCGGATCAGGATGAAGACGCCGTCGAATGCGAGGCCCACGATCATGAGCTTCACGCCGTTGTCGAGCTGGAAGCTCTTGGGGAGCACACCGCCCTTCTTGTGGAATGGCTTGTCGAGGTGGTAGCGCAGCAGGAACTCGCCCGCGAGGATCATGTAGATGCTCACGGCGGCTGTAGACAAAATGCATCACACGCGCGGTCAGCCGATGTGAGATGGAGGACGATGAAGACGCAGGAAGACGCACCGAGCTGGAAAGCGATACCGCCGAGCATAATGTGTCCGCCCTGGGGAGTGGGAGAATATGTCAGTTAAACGCGCGGGGTGGGAAAGAGGGCTGCGGAACATACGGGGTTCGGGTCCTGGTTGTTCTGCACCGCGGTGGAGGCCTTCGCGCCACCGATTGCTTGCACGATAAGTGCGATGATGTCCTGTGATGAGGGTCAGCGTCCGGAGACGGCACGGGTGAACGTCGGGGGGCGTACGCAGGAGCAGAAGATGATGGTGTCTGTGTCGGGCGGTTCGGTCAGTACTGGCGTAGATAGCGGATGATAGACGGCGAGCGCGAGGGGAGAGGTACGCACACCACATAGCACTCAGGCGGCTGTATTGCTGTCCGAGGCGCTTTATTATCCGGCCGAGGATGACGAAGTTGGCGGCAATGAGTGGCGTAGGGGCGATGATCGTCGTGGTAATCCTGGGTGGGAATGAGGTTAGCGGAATGGCGTGAGGAATAGAGGCGAGGGGAGCGCGTACTGCATGAGGAAGGGGTCGAGGAGAGTGGGATTCAAGCTGGACCATAGTCGGCCGCTCCAGCCGATAATCTCAATCACGCCTGCGAGGACGGTCGTGCCAAGCAGCCACCACAATCTAGACCAAACCGCCTGTCCGAGATGTACAGCTACGGGCAAAGTTGAGCGAGTAAGATGGCAGGAGAACATAAGGAACGCACAAGTGGTGATCGCGAAGAGCGCAATGAAGAGAATGCAAATCCATTCTGTGGGCACGTAACCGTACGGACTCCGATGCGCGCGTTGCGTCTCTTTGTGACTGTCAGTACGAGAAACGTTACGCGATCAATGCACTCACGAGCAGCGACGATGGCCGCAGAAGTGAAGTTGTCAAACGACATGGAGGAGAAAGGAGGGAGAAGCGACCCGGAGCGGAGGGGGAGGGAATTCGGATGCGGCACGGAGCGCTGAACAAGCGAGGATTATATAGGGCGCGACAGGGGCGCGCGGGAGCTGCGGTCAAAACCCAGGACGCGTGTTGGTGGTAAAAGGGAGAGGCGTGTGGGCGGCATGGGTATGATGGCTGGGAAATAAAGGACGGCTGACGGATGGGGAGGAGGTCATCGAGTGCACGGCCGGAAGCTGTCTCCTTCGCGCGCTCGATCTCCGACTCCGGAATCCGATCTTGCATGCCGAGTTCGGGTGCCCGATCTTCCCGGCCCTCTTTCCGAACTCACCATAATCTCTCAGGCCACTGCGCTGTTTGTCCTCAACGCAGCAACCCGTCTTGGCGAGGGGGAACGGACGAAGGCGAGAGGTTTCGACGACACATCCGTGATCGCAGTGATTTACGCGTGTGACACGAAAAGGGCCCGTCCAGGGGAGGCATGGCCTCTTTCGGGCGCGCCGGGCAGGATGAATCTGGCATCATGCGATGGCTTCATACCCACACGCGGCCGGCGCCGGCGCCCAGCTCCGAACGTTCGAGGAGATACGCAGTACTGCTAGCACAGGCTACTTTTCGTCTGACGTATCGCTAGTGACGCAACTTGACCACTATGAATTGAGTGTACTGTTCTGATCAGGTCGTGCCTGGTCGTGCTGACCTTCCCAGCTCGAGCACAGCCTACGCTGCTAGTCAAAATCACTCGCAAGCGGCAGGTGGAGTCCAGCTGTGCATATGTGGTTGAGGTTGTGGGCTGTGCAACTTCATCCGGCAAGGACATAAGTAAGCAGAGGATAGCAGGCTAATGAATAGCATCTGTTCCTGTGGCGCCTCAGTCAGAGACAAGAACATAGAGCGCAGCTGGGCTAGACGGATTGCACAGGATGGTCGGGTGTGCGCGTTGTGGACAGAGAGTGACCGGGAGCAGTGCAAGCTCGGTGCCTGGCCCTGTTGGCGCCCGCCATGATCGCTCGATCGCTCTCCGGATCTTGGGCGTTAATGCTTCTCCCGGGCGCCTACGCGAAAAAGTTGGACGAGCGGCTCTCCATCCGGTCCTCCTTCCGCCACACTCTCCTCCGCTCGCTTTACATTCCGTACTTTCCGGGTATTGCTTGGACTTGTGGACTACTGCCTGCGGAAGCCCTCGCGCAAGGTTCAGTTCTCAAACATGGCTCAGGATTTGAAGAGGAAGCGGGGAGCGCAAGCTGCGCCAAAGGCAAAGGTGCGTCCGCCCATCACTCGAAAGCGCGGAGTACTCAAACTGTTACGTACCGCAGCGCCTACACGCGGACGAGGATGCCATTAGCGACCATTCTTCCGCTGAAGAGAGCATGGGGTCAGGCAGCGACCAGGACGCAGAAGAGGAGGCCTGGGGTGGAATCCAGGCCGCGGCGGCCCACAGCCATGAAAACTCTGCAGAGGCTGGCCCATCTGGGTCGCACATACTGAAACCGCCTACTGGAGAGGAGCTCAAGAAGATCAAGGATGCGTCCGAACTCTTCAGGTCCACGGCTTTCAAGTCGCAGGTGCGTGTGCATCCGTTCTGTTGCACTACGGCACGCGTAACCATTCGTCTTAGATCGACGCAATGCTCCCCAACGTCCGTCCAAATACGACAAGTCACAATCGTTGGATGCTCTCCTCTTGTCTATTCACAAGCTCCTCATGGAGCTGCCTGCCATCGCACCTCAGCATCCACTTCATGCGTCAAGAACGCTCTCTAAACAGGGCATCGACGTGCCCTATGTGCGCCCCCTTCCGACGGAAGAGACCAACTGGAAGGTCTCTTTCGAGAAGCCCTCTGAGATAATGTTGGCAGGCAGCTGGATCACGAAGACTGCCGTAAAGGCCAAGGACTTCGCTCCATTCACGGCCGATCTCGCAATAGAGATGCCTTCGGTGAGTACACCCTTAAGCTTTCCGTTGCACTTCTTATGCGTCTCTGTAGAATCTATTTCAGGAGAAAGACTATCTCAACAGCCGAGTCTTCCAAAAACGCGCCTACTACCTAGGTGTCGTCGCTTCTGCGATCGCTAAGGCGAAGTTCACTCTTCGTTGCGAGCTCTTCTATGAGTCCATCTCTGGTGACCCACGAAGGACCTGCCTTGTGCTCCGTCCAGAACCTGGTATGTTTCTGGCAATTGTTGAATCACTCACTGAGCTAACGCGTTGTAGACGGCTCGCATAAAAGTTCGGGCAAGGTCCCTATACACGTCCGCATTATCCCTTTCATCAGCGAGTCGCCCATCCCGCTTCAGCGGCTATCCCCCGCGCGGTCCAATATTCGCGCAACCACCCTCAAGGACGAGTCCAAGGAGGAGCCGACGCCCTTGTACAACACTGCGTATATGCTCATGACCACACCGAGAGCTCACTTGCTTCACGTACACGCTTTGGCAAAGAACGTGCCTTCCTTCGTTGATGCACTCACACTGCTCCGAGTTTGGGCGAACCAGCGCGGCTACGGTCTTGGGAGCCGCATGTGTGTACGTGGCTTTGAGGGCAAGGGTATATGGTGGGCGTCGATCTTGGATCTGATTGTCAACGGCGAGGAGCCGCCTCCTGCGGGCCTAGGCAAGAGGGGCGCCAGACGCAAGCCTTTGGGGAAGGGTTTGAGCTCGTATCAGCTCTTCAAGGCCGCCTTAGATTTCCTCGGTATGATTCCATCAACTCTTGGCACGTTTCGTGTTGTTCACATTCTGCTCAGCGCGACACAACTTTGGCGAAGAGGCTGTATTCGTAAAGTCAAAGGATGGACATCGGGTATGTTTGTGGTCTTGCCCATCCGTTTGGCTCTGTTTCATTCAGACTGCCTATGTCGCTGCAGTTCCCTCCTAGCAGCTATTCGAGCCATGAGGCTGTCTTCGTGGATGCGACGTCGTCGGTCAACCTATTGGCGGACGTCCCTTTGGCTTCTCTCGATACGGTGAGAAAGGTCATACTTCTCTCAGCCCACTCTCGTTTAACATACCTATCCAGTTAAGATATGACGCTCAATCAACCTTGGAGCTGCTGGACCATGCTTCTATATCTGAAGACACTTTCGCCCCTCTGTTCTTGCAGGAGCACCGTGACATCCTCGCACGTTTCGACGTAGTCGCAAGGTGTGTCATCTATTCGCGCTGATTTACAATTTGATCCTCACCGCGAGGATTGCAGGGTGGACCTATCGTCTGTGGAGATGCGTACAGTGTCTGCGCAACATGTTGCCGATCATGGCTCGGCCTACAGCGCAGCAGTCGCACAACTCGTCTCCACGCTGCGCCGAGGTTTCGGGGACCGTGCCAAGGCCATAGCCGTCCTCCATGCCTCTTCAGACGTCCGGCCGACGTCGCAGGCTCTTCCGATACAGTCATCTATCGTGCACGTCGGAATCATCCTCGACAGCGAGCACGCCTTCCGGCTCGTCGACCACGGTCCTCCGGCCGAAGAACAAGAAAGCGAGAGGACAAGGCAGTTCCGGCAGTTCTGGGGTGACAAGGCCGAGCTGAGGCGCTTCAAGGACGGCTCAATCGCGGAGAGCGTCGTCTGGGACGTGAAGAACGCCGACGAGCGCGCCCGGATCCCTGCTATGATCATGCGTCATCTTCTTGCGCGTCATTTCGGCCTTGGGGCGGACGCCGTGCAAACTTGGCAAACCGAATTCGACGCGCTGCTGAAGCTGCCCGAGTCGATCTCGTCCCTATACCAGGCTTCGAGCGCGTCGGTCGGCTTCAAGTCTGCGCTCTTGGCGTTCGATGCGCTCGCAAGCATTTCAGGGCGCTCGATGAGCAGTTCCCTCTCGCGGTGCTCAATGTCAGCCCGGTCACCCCTGCCCTCCGGTATACCGACGTCTTCGTCCCTGCTACGCTCGCTATCCCTTCTCGGTCGGCACTGCCCAAACGCGCGTCGTACCTCCCCGTCATGGAGATCATCATCGAGTTCGAGAAGTCCGCCCGGTGGCCAGACGATCTGCACGCCATCCAGAAGATGAAGCTCGCGTTCTTCGAGCGCCTCGCCAGCATCCTCATGCACGCCGTCAAGGGCCTACAAGCGACCGTCGTGTTCGGCGAGCGCCCAGAGCGTACGGAGATCGAGGACGAGGCCGCGCTCGACATCATCACCGCGGACGGCTGGGCGTTCCGCGCGCGCATCTGGCACGACCGCGAGGCGACGCTCCTGGACCGCATCATCAACGACCAGCCGCACGTCCCCAAGGCCCTGCGCCAGGCGAAGACCGGCGAGGACGCGCGCGATCGCCAGCTCGCCCTGCATGCGCGCGAACTCTACACGCGCCGGTTCATCCACGCACCCCGGCATCACCGCGCGATCGCGGCGCTATACCATCGGTTCCCGGCGTTTGCGAACACCGTTAGGTTGACGAAGCGGTGGTTCGCGGCCCACTGGCTGCTGCACGGACATGTCTCTGAGGAGGCGGTTGAGCTGCTCTGCGCGCATGTGTTCTTGCGCACGGGGCCGCCATTCGTGGCGGATGCCGCTGCGAATGCGAAGACGTTTGCGCCGGGCTGGAAGGAGCGCGGCTTCGCGCAGGTCATCGAGTTCTTGAAGGATTGGGATTGGACCGGGGGTCTGGAAATCTCGTTGGACAATGCGGATCAGACTGCTGGTGACTCCTCGACCGCGCCCCCTACGACCACCTCGAAGGACGTCGCGTGGGCGCTGAAGACGCCCTTCGACCCACGCGGTCACATGTGGACGTCGTCGGGCCCGAATGCTGTCGTAGCGCGGCGCATCACCACCATCGCAAAGGCGACATGGGAGTGTTTGAACGGTCTGGAGACCGGTGCGTCAACCGTAAAGGTCAGTGATTGTTGGGCCTTTCGATATTGGTCACCCGTTGATCCCCGTTATAGGCGATTTTCCACCACCCTACCGACTACTACGACTTCGTAATCGAGCTGAATCCGGCGCTCTCCACTCGCTACCACCAGAAGCTCGACGCCGACCCGTCCGTATGGGCGCCGAAGGGCAAGTACGCGAACGCGATCGTGAAGGGCGCGGCCGCGTCCATTATGCCCAGCTTCGACCCCTTCGCGATGTTCTACGGTGACCTGTCGGTGAGTGCTCCCCCCCTTTCTCTCTGTGCATGAGCCTTTTCTCAGAGAATCGTTAGCATGTATATGCGGACACGGTCCTTCTGTTCCACGACCCGCTCGGGGGTGACCGTATCGGTGCTGTCTGGCAGCCCAACCTGCGGAGTGCACGACCCTTCCGGGCGTTGGGCGGCTTCTCGAGCATACCATCACAAAAAGTGGGCATATCTGTGTTCTTCATCTGGATTCTCGTACTAAGCATTTGCTTCAGGATGCAGCCAATGGCAAGGAAAAGGATAAGGGGCTTGTAGTCCTCAACGAGAGTTCACTGTTTCTAGAAGTCCAGAGGCTGGGCAGCACTCTTGTTGCAAAGATTGTGCCTCGGGATACATAGTAGCACAGTTGTCATGTTTTCATAGTGAGAGTGGCAAGAGTTGATTACTTGAATATGGTACAAAATTAGTGCAAATGCTGAACATCATACTGAGTCATGCTAAGGGGTCGACAGAGAGGCCAGACGGTCATGGCTAAATGTGCCACTCTACTACCACGGTGAGCTACAGCAGGATTACCATAATGAGATTGTGTGAAGTCATGAGAGGAGAAATTGTGAGGAAACAGTAAATGTAGGATAGTAGGGAGCTCAAGGGTTAGAGCTTGAAGCAAAGACACAGGTAGCTATGTTTGTCACTACTCTGCATGCACTTGAGGCATGCTTGAAGGAGGGTCAGTCCTTTGATTGGCAGGTCATCAATGAAATTTTTTGCAACATGAGGGATCTCATCCTGGAGAATGAAGGTAAGAAAATTTTGTGATCTTGTGGGAGAATTTGTATATCCCTCAGGCATGTAAGTGAGGGGGAAAATCCCAACAGAGTTATAATTGTGGCGAGATCTCAACTCTGATTGGACAATGTGAGCATCATATCCAAAAAATTATAATTGATGAGGATCAAAGAAATCATTTGTTATGGGGTGAACTTCCGGCCAACTTGTGTCACATAAAACAATGTACATGGGAAAAAATTGAAACTCCACTAATCAGCCATTAGTTTTGAGATAGGCACCATATACATCCTCCACTTACAAAACCTGGGTTAGGGTTCTCCTCCATTAGGAGTTTTAGGGTCAGACACTAGATCACTGCACACAGCCACTCTGACCATCTGGTAATCAGACTCTAATGTTCCCCAGTGGGCATCTATGTAACCCTAGCTGGCACTACACATCTGTGGCTTCATGCACACTCAAACGCAAGCTAGAACAAGCATCTAGATAGACTCATAACACAGTATGCATGATAGTATAAGGGTATATCTATGAAGTCTATGGTACTAGCAAATGTACTAGTAGTGGTGAAGGGTCCACAATACTTCCCACCCAGAGAGAACACTAATCAAATATTTGATGGGGTATTATGTGTACACATAGAACATGTCAGAGTGCCATGATATATGTTACTGTACCTCTTTCATAATTGACAGATACTAGAGTGATTGAAACACCAGTTTATCTACTCTGTGTTGGATTGGAAGACTAAAATTGAAGTATTTCCTTTTTTATTCGCCAGTTTTGGGTAAATCAAGACCATAACAGCACCATACTGTAGAGCCTATAAAGGACTTTCTAATGATATGCAATATGTGCTATATGGATGGGAACTGGTGAAACAGCGAGGGAAATACTGCTAAAGAGTGGCTGCTTTCAAAAACTTTCTAAGTCCAATGGACGCTAGTAGATTGCGCTAAGTACCACGGGTGCTAGTAGTTACGCGCTGGCCCAGCGCGATCTACTAGCACCCATTGGACTTCACCAAATCACGCTTTCGGCGCCTATTTGACCGACAGGATCAGGCCCTGTGAACCCTTCTTTAAATCGCATTATTTGGCTATTTGTGCACTATATGATGCATATGAGGCTTGGAAAACGATTCCATTGTGTAGAGATTGGCCAGCAGAGTCCAATGATATATAGATCAACATTTATTAATAAGCAGTTCACTGCAAAAAATCTGATTTGGTACAATTTATACCACTTTGTAGGCTGATGCTGCTCCTGTGTTGTTTATAGCCCAGAATATGCCCAAGTATCTATGATGTGTCTACATAACATTTCTGTCCATGTATTGGGCCTCCCATGGAAACAACATGTATATATCATCAAAATGGACAGAGATATTGCTTTAATCATGCCCGCTTGCCTCTTTCTAGTAATATATTGAGGTATACCATCTATTGTACAGTGGACTTTTGAGTATAGCATCCTCATTGAATAGAGAGCAATATTCTGAACCCAGTGGTATATAATACTTGATCATTTGATCAATATGCTAGGCCACTAGCACTTATTGCCAATTGTGGCACTAATAGAAATTTATCTGGCCCACATCTTATTCCACTGTCACCACATCCTTGATTTGTTTGCACAGGTGGATTCTCCTTGTCAACAGCTTCCTGGTGATATATAATATGTCTCATTTAGACAAGTAGAAGCTGAGATATTGACCCTTCTCGGTTTGGAGCCAAACAAGACCAAAGCCAATGGCACGACAACGCAGAATCATGTTGGCAGCCACTAGCTTTGGCTTTGTTTGTTTTCAGCCACAGCTCAACATAATGTGCTCATTAATAGACAAGTATATGGTGGAACATACCACTATTATATATCACCAGAAAGCTGTTGATGAGCAAAATGCAATGAGGGTGTTTGTATGATGTTCTGAGCACATCTGTGAGTGCTGCAAGCCAAACAACCCACCATAAGTGACTTTGGGTCACAAACTGTCACTAATGGGGATCAATGTAGGCCTAGGTCAGTGTGAACCCAGGCCTAATATCAAGTATTATATACTGTCAGGTTAGGAAAACCGAGCTCTACACAAAGGTGCTGTTTGTAGGTCAATAGGGTGCCAATTGAAGGCATAAATTGGAGTAAATGAAGTTCAGGTCCAGATTAAGCAGTTTATCTAATACACTCACTGCGTTCAATGCATTTTTAGTCCCCGGGCGAGCGCACGCAAATAGGCCAGAATAGAAGACCTGGGCGGAGTCCGAATACACTGTCTGGTCGGGAGGGCACCTACAGGCCAGTGAGACCAACAGTTCACTCTGGTCGGGCGTGGGTGGGCGGCGAGTACGTGGTATATGCAAAGAGGGGAGTAGGCACGAGCAAAATGTGTAGTAGCATATAGTCCGGATTGGTATACAGTACGTGTTACAAACAAGACCAGAGCAGACTAGACTGGGTACAACAATGTATTGCAGATTGTACAAACACATACAAAGAACACGCGCTGTCAAGCACCAAATTGGATTGGTACTTGGCCATGCAATAGCCACCAAGGCACTATCACCAGACTAGCAGGACATTCCACTCTGTCATAAGGTGTAGCACGCCAGAGGATGACTAATCAGTATTTCCTCATACAAGTCTTGCTTAGTCAAAAGACATTACTAGCTTGGGGAAGCCCCAAAGATGCTACCCCACAGCTTGGCCAGGTTACCCCAAACCCCAACAGGTTTGCCCCACCCCAATGCCCCGAAGTTCCCAGAGTCCTTGAGGAAGGTTCCAGAAACATCCAGAATATCCTGGAGACCTCTATACCATAAAGACAGCAGAATGCAGTAAATTGTGCTAGGACGTTCTGGTAAGTTCCAGAATATTCTAGAACCCTCAGGATAATCCTGGGAGGTTCCATACCACACTGGCACATCCATTGGGGAGAGACTACAATCCGTTGGGGAGCTAGAACCTTGGGGAAAGTCACGGAATAGTCTGGAACATTCCGCAACCCCAAAAGAAAGTGCCCCAGACTACTAAGAAAGGAAAAGGGAACATGCTGGAAGGTCCTAGAAGGTTCTCAAAGGTTCCCCAAAGTATGTAGAATGTAGGATAGTTATTTGTAATTCGCTTAGTCAGCGCCCCTTCAGAAAGGTATAAATACCGGCCTGAGGGAGGAGCCCAGGACAATCAACAATCTTCAGTTCACAGCACACAGCAGCAGGCACTTTGTTTAGTCCCTAAGTACCATAAGGCAATCTCACCAAACCCAAGGGGTAAGGAACATTGCAGGTAGCTTAGTCAGAGAGAGTAAGTAAGCATAGGTAAAGGATAGGATCAGCAGGCAGAGCCCTGGATCCGCAGCAGTAAGACAAGTCAGACACAGGCCGCCAGCGATAAGGCGAAGCTCTGCCGAAATTCGTATAGCAGATACGGAACGACAGAGAAGGCTCTAGAAAAGTCTAGTAGCATCAGAAAGTATCAGGAGGAGCTCAAGGAGAGCCCTCAATTAAGCAGACAGACCAGGAGGAGCTTACAAAGAGCCCTCAATCAGTACTAACACCCGCAGGCATCAATACCGGGAGATTTGTGCATAGATCTTCAGGACTATCCAAGTCCGTAGAGTGGAACGAACTCGGCGAAGCCTCTGTTGGAAAAGTAGGAAACCCCACACGCTTTGCGGCACGCTCGCGCCTTCAGGATTGAAGAGCCCCTTTCATCCCTCGACAACAAAAACAAATTTCTGTCTTTGACGTCGACCACTATAAAATCAAATAAAACACACTCACACCCAATCCCCGACGAGCACGACAGCGCGCGTACGCAGTCAGCTGCCCATATGCAGCAGCGTGCTGCATCCAGCTTGCCCCTTCACCCGCGACCACCCTTCCTGTCCTCCACATCTTCTGACAATGATGTCGTTGACTTGTCCAGCGAATATCACCGACAAAGAAGTCAGAGCAAGCTGGAATGGCCTACCTGAAGCCGTGTGCAGAGCACTCATGAAGGAGGCCACCGGTCCCAGGTCCACGGCGGCATCAGGCCAGGGAGACGGCACTGCGCACATCCATTCAGGCAGGGTGATGCGAGGGGGGATTGGACAGAGAGGAAGAGGAGGGTCAGTGCGCTTATCGCGTGCATACAGCCGCTGTGCACAAACATTAACTTTATATGTGCATATACAGAGCGCACGTACCTGCGCAGCTGAGAACCCAATGAGGACTGAGTGGGTCGGAGGGGTCGGGAGTGTATGGACCAACCCAATCAGAAAAGGGGTCAGTGTCGAAGGTTTGGCCGTCATAATGGTCCAGATCGTTGATTCCAGATTGAACAGGTGCATCTGGGTTCAGAGGCCATTAAAGGATGTGGAACATGCGGCCATACCCGGTGCCACCCTGTGGGTCTTCCCAGGTAATGCCAAGTGGCTGCCAGTGCAGGTACTGGAGGTAGAAGTGTCGGAGATGTGGGAGGATGGTAAGGAGCTGTGTGTGGAGCGCGAGGTCATGGTGGGTGAAGTTGTAGGTCTGCAAGAATGCACCCAAGTTGGCTGCATTGGCAAAGGTATCAAGGTCAATGTCAAGGGGGACAGGGTATGGGAAAGCCGGAGTGTCGATGAGCAGTGTGCGAAGGTTGTGGAATGGGGTGAGACCATATAGGAGCCATGGCAAGGAGTATCAAGGTGATGGCCCAAACAGGTGAGAGACACCCTACAAGGATGTTAGTAATTATGCATGACCAAGAAAACATGCACGCACAAACTGGCCCACCCCATAGTTGCACTCATCCTTGAGCCGCAGTGTTTGGATGCGGCAGAGGGAGGGTCTCCACCAGTGTCCGGCACGACTCAGCATTGTTGTGGACGAGTTGTTGCTGGTGACAATGTTGAGCTCTGTCCAGTTTGTCATGTATGGGGTGGCACATTGAGCGATGTCCCAGAGCAGAGGGCCATTGTTGGTCTCATTGTGCAAGTCGACCTCCAGAAGATAAAGATTGAGAAAGTTGATGTGGACACGCTGTGGATCACCACCGCTGAGTGCACATTGACATCCGTGCTCTTCAAATGCTATGACATCCAAGAAGAGGGTATGGAGTTGATGGGCCGTGCAGATGCTCAGTGCAGTGCGGGGAAAGGGGCGGGAGAAGTGGTGGGAGAAGTCCCTGGACACCATGTGCAAGGCAAGGACCTCATGCAGGTCAGAGTCACCGTGGACCTCATCTCTGTTGTAGTACTGCCAGGGCAGGCAGCAGGCATGGCCAATGAGGGAAAGGAGCTCAGGGGTATTGAGGACACGGGTAGTGGCCATGGTGGCGTGTGTGCAAAACAAACATGAACATTGACACGTCATACATTGACACAATGCATTCCCACGGTTGAACATGCATCTCAATGTGAGCCTGGGTGTGTGTAGTACATTATGCACCTTATGGATAAGCCACAGTATTGTGCACACACCAGTGATATAACTTGTTGATTAATATGTTTTTCCAAAGCCTAGCTAATTTCTCTCTGTCAAATACCAGTATATAAATACAATACAAATGTGACTCACATATAGATGACATGATTCTCCCTTAGACAGAGCAATCTTGTCTGATCTCATCTAAGCAAGTACAGACATCAATAAGAGTTTGGATTATTTGGAATGGTAACCATGTATACTTGGCTATTATCAGGTTCACTCAACAAATATATAGACAGTACCATTGAATAGAGATCAAAATTCTGAGCCTGGTGGTATATAACACTTGGGGGGAGGCAATGATGTCATCAGGTCATGTCCCTTGGGCGCTTTTTTCTGATTGTGGCACAAATAGGATTTTGTGTTGTGCATAGTGGCAGCAAAGGTGGCCACATCCAAATAATTTTTGAGTATATGGACTCTGCTCATCCATAGCTTCCTGGTGATGTGTGTTTTATGAAATATGGACCAGTAAGAGGCAAAATATTAAGACATTTGTAGTGGGAACCAAACAAGACCACAGTTGGTGGCAGGGGAACGCAGCTCAGTGTTGCCCTGCCACCAAGTATGGTCTTGTTTGTTCTCAGCCACAGCTGCAACTCAATTTCCCCCCTGTTGGCTCATTCTTTATCACATTATAAGACAAATATATATCATTGGAAAGGTCCTTCTAATGTGCATCTAATGGTGGTACAATCATGGTTTTATATCAAATACACAGGCTTTAATGCACTAAACACTGATTGTGGCTGAAGGTCACTGCCAGATTGTATGCACAATACCTGGTCTTTATGCTCACTAATCCATCCATCAAGCTTCATTATTATATTGCAGGACACTTTCATTATATAAGGCAGAAGATAGTGGTAGCAGTGTATCAGATAAACTGCTTAATCTGGACCTGAACATCCTTTTACTCCAATTTATGCCTTCAATTGGCATTCTATTGACCTACAAACAACACCATTGTGTAGAGCTCAATTTTCCGAACCTGACAGTATATAATACTTGACATTATGTCTGGGAAAACACTGACCTAGACCCACATTGATCTCCATTAGTGACAGATTGTGACCCAGAGTCACTTATGGTGGGTTGGTTGGCTTGTAGCACTCCCATATGTGCTCAGTATCCTATACAAACACCCCCATTGCATTCTCCTCATCAACAGTGTTCTGGTGATATATAATAGTGGTATGTTACACTATACACTTGTCTATTAATGAGCACATTATGTTGAGCTGTGGCTGAAAACAAACAAAGCCAAAGCTAGTGGCACGACGACGTGGAATTGCGTCGGCATGCCATTGGCTTTGGTCTTGTTTGGCTCCAAACAGAGAAGGGTCAATATCTTGGCTTCTGCTTGTCCAAATGGGATATATAATATATCGCCAGGAAGCTGTTGACAAGGAGAATCCATCTGTGCAAAGAGATCAAGGATGTGGTGACAGTGGAATAAGATATGGACTACATATATTTCTATCAGTGCCACAATTGGCAATAAGCGCTAGTGGCCTGGCATATTGATCAAATGATCAAGTATTATATACCACTGGGTTCAGAATATTGCTCTCTATTCAATGAGGATGCTATACTCAAAAGTCCACTGTACAATAGATGGTATACCTCAATATATTACTAGAAAGAGGCAAGCGGGCATGATTAAAGCAATATCTCTGTCCATTTTGATGATATATACATGTTGTTTCCATGGGAGGCCCAATACATGGACATAAATGTCATGTGGACACATTATAAACACTTGGGCATATTCTTGGCTATGAACAACACAGGAGCAGCATTAGCCTACAAAGTGGTATAAGATGTGCAAAATCAGATTTCTTGCAGTGATCTGCTTATCAATAAATGTTGATCTATATATCATTAGCCTCTGCTGGCCAAGCTCTACACAATGGAATGGTTTCCTAAGCCTCATATGCATCATATAGTGCACAAATAGCCAATGAATGCGATTTAAAGAAGGGTTCACAGAGCCTGATCCTGCCGGCCAAATAGGCGCCGAAAGCGTGATTTGGTGAAGTCCGATGGGCGCTAGTAGATCACGCTGGCCCAGCGCGATCTACTAGCGCTCGTGGTACTTAGAAAGATTTTTTGAAAAGCAGCCGCTTTTTGGCAGTATTTCTCTTGCTGCTTCACCAGTTCTCATCCATAAAGCACACATTATATATCATTCGAAAGCCCTTTACAAGCTCTACAACATGGTGCTGTTATGGTCTTGATTTACCCAAGATTGGGGAATAGAAAAAGGAAATACTTCAATTGCAGTCTTTTAATCCAACACAGAGCAGATAACCTGGGGTTTTAATCACTCTAGTAACTGCCAATGATGCAAGAAATAGAATAATATATATGATGGCACTATAACATGTCCTATGTGTACACATCAGACCCATCAAATCCTTCATTAGTGTTCTAGACCCTTCACTGTTATGAGCACATTTGCTAGTAATGTAAACTATATAGATATACCCTTATACTATGATCTATATGATGTTAAGAGTCTCTCTAGATGCTTTTGGTAGCCTGCATTTGAGTGCACATAGGGCGGCAAGCATGTAGTGCCACCTAGGGTTACATAGACGCCCACTGGGGAGCATTAGAGCCTCATTAGCAGATGGTCAGAGTGGCTGTGCGCAGCAATCTAGTGTCTAACTCTAAAATTCCTAATGGAGGAGAACCCTAACCCTAATTTTGTAAGTGGAGGATGTATGTGGCATCTATTTCCAAACTAATGGCTGATTAGCGGAGTTTTAAAATATTTTCCCACGGGGCTTGTTTTATGTGTCGCAAGTTGGCAGGAAAGTCCCTACATAAGAAATGATTTCTTCGTTCCTCATCAATTGTAATGAAGGGGAACCCTAACCCAAGGTTTGTAAGTGAGGATGTATGTGGCACTTATTCCACCTTTATGTGCATATATCCATCTCACTCAAGTCTGGCTACCTTTCCCAGAATATACCCACCTCATCTTGGTGTCCACCACTCATGTTACGATTGATGAGGAACGAAGAAATCGTTTCTTATGGGGTGACCTTTCTGCCAACTTGCATGTCGGAAAGTCGACCCCGTGGGAAAAAATTACTTACCCATCATTAGCTTTCTGATAGGCGCCACATTCAAAATTTTGTAATGTTCGCAGGGTTAGGGTTGGATTCCAATAGCACAGCTTAGGGTTAGCCTTAGATCAGTTCTAATCACAATTCTTACCACATGTAAAGCCTCTCCCCTGGGCGCTTGTGTAACCCTAGGTTGCACAGCACATCTGCCGCTCACTGCACACTATGCCTATAGGCTATGCACTGTATCAAAACAGACCCTTAACACATGATATAGTGTAGTTCAAGTTCTATGCCCCTAGTTTCCTTTTAGAGCAGTAATCTGGTAGTAGTATTTGGATGCCACATGCCACTAAGAGAGGCTAGTCAGCTATTAGTTGAGGTATTATGTACTAAAATAGAGGGTCATATTTGTTTTTGTGTGTCATAAGTGATTGATCTGAAAACTATTGTATGAAGTATGTCTTGGATTTAGAGTGCAATTTGGAACAGATGGAAACCAAGATAGCACCATGGTGGGCAGCTTGTGAAGAGCTTTGGTATGATGTATAATAGTGCTATATTGATGAGAACTAGCGAAATAGTATAGGAAATATCATTATTGGAAGGCTGAAAATAAGGTATTTCCCTGATTGATAGGCTAATTTGAATCATGTCAAGACTGAAATAAGGCCATCCTATAGAGCTTGTAAAGGGCTTTCTAATGCTATATAATATGTGCTATATGGATGAGGACTGGTGAAACAGCGAGCAAAATACTGCCAAAAAGCACCTGCTTTTCAAAAATTCTGTCTAAGTACCACGGGCGCTAGTAGATCGCGCTGGGCCAGCGCGATCTACTAGCGCCCGTCGGACTTCACCAAATCACGCTTTGGGCGCTTATTTGGCGGACCAGATCAGGCTTTACAGAGCCTTCTTTCATTAACATTGTTTGGCCATTTCTGCACTATATAATGCATAAAACCCTTCAAAACCATCTCTATTGTATAGAACTCAGCCAGAAGATTCCAATGGTACATAAATCACCATTTATTGGTAATCAGGGTACCTCATAAAGCACGATTTTGTGTATTTTTGTATAACTCTATTGCAACCAATGCATCAAATGAACTGTTTGGCAGATCGACACCTGTGTATTGCATATAATGCATAGTCATACCATCATTAGATCCACATTGAAAGTAGCTTTCTGAAGATCGACGTTGATCCCATGTTATGGTACAAAATGAGCTAACAGTACACATACTGTATTGCAGTTGGGCTCCCTTCACAACTTTCTCAATAATCTGGTGCCTACTGGTCCATATTTCACAAACTGTATATCACCAGAAAGCTATAGATGAGAATCCAAATGTGCACACAAAATTCTATCAATGCCACAATTAGCAATAAGTGCTCAATGGCACAGACCTGATGGCATCATTGCCTCACCCACAAGTATTATATACCACCAGATTCAGTTTTTCAATCTCTATTCAATGATGTTGCTGATATATTTGTTAATTGATCCTACAAGGTAGAACAGCCATCATTATTGCAGTAGTATGGCTTGGAAGCCTTCAGAAAGCCACACCTTCCTCCATCTCATCAATCGGATCTGCCAGTCATGGCCCTTTCCACCCAAGTTTGTATACCAGTGTGCCTGAGGCTTTTGTCAAGCTTGAAGAAGACATCATCACCATTACAAGCAAAGATGAGGACAACAAGGTAATGTCTACTGTGTGTTACACTATGTTCTGTACTCACTCTGAACATCCCTTCATCGGCCGTTGGCTAAAGTCAGGAAGTTCAGCTCAGAGCTCAAAGCTATCTTATTAATCAGGTTCTGTATGTCTAATGCACTATCTGCAGCTCGTCAAGGAGTTCAACGCTGTCCGTCGTCTGTGGTCACTCTCCAGCGTCGGCTGGGATGAGGGCCTCATGACTGTCACTGCAAGCAAGGATGTGTGGGCACAGTTGTGACAGGTACATGGTCCAGATTGGTACTGGTACCCCTCTGCTGTCTACTCAGCCTCACCGTCTGAGGTCACCGAGCAGCTCTCCAGAGTGTGCAATGAGCTGGTTACATATCTGATACGTCCCTTTGGTGCTTATCTGACATCCCACAGAGTCCAAGCCCTGTGCGAGAGATGTCAACTTGCAGTAGAAGTTGCTCACCACGTCCGCTTGGTGGTGCTGCCAGGGCTTGAAGTCGAAGTGCCAGCCTCAATAGCAGCTGTACTAAGGCTGCACATAGGTTCAGGTCACTGCATAGGTTGACCTGATCTGACCTAAAATAACCTGTAGGTTCAGGTCATCTGGGTTCAGGTACCTAGTATGTAGATCAACCCCAGCTCTAGATCAAAGCTGGCAGAAATCATTGACCTAGAAGGCTGACCTACATGATCTGTATATAGAAGATATAAGCTGACCACAGTGCAGATTGTTGGGGAAATGTATCATTTGTGGTATAGTGCAGCAGAATTCACATATCCAGCTACAGCCCAAGCATTACTCAGGTGTTGTGGCTTGAACAAGTGCAGAGTTATGTACAACTTATATAGAATATTACATATTGTCAATGTTGGCACAACTATTTTGAAGACTTCAAGGCATTGTATCAGGGCACAAGCCTTGTCCATCTCAGGGCTGGACATTTATCTTTGGATCGTGGTCTATGTTTCTTTATATCCTCTTTGCTCTTAGTCTCTTATGGTGTCTCCACTCTTGTGCAAGTCCCATTTGTAAATGTTGAAGGTATATATAAGTTTTGGAATGTGTGTTAGTCTACACCTAAAAGCTAAGCCAGTTGTTGTGTTCATGAGTGTGTTGATTATATATTGGGATAGTATATCCCAAACATATTATTGGACACATACAAACACAGATCACATGTAGGTTGACCTGTAGGTACTAGGTCTAGGTCACTAGATCACAGGTACCTGGTATGTGGATCAATGCCAGTTCTAGATCAAGGCTTGTGATCTGCAAATACCTGTAGGTACAGGTCCAGATCACCTATGGATCAACCTATGTGCAGCCTTAAGCTGTACCAACTCGCTGACCCCATCCCGCAGGCAGTGCAAGTGCAAGGCTGCCTCACCTGCACTGGAGTCCCCTGCTCCATTGGCATCCATGAAACATGTCCATATCACTGGCCCTGTTGCTGTCAACAATGTTGCTGATGTGATGTCACAGGTAGTGTCAATGTTCAGGACTTCTGTCACTGAGATTGCTGCTCCTACTTGGCATGCTCGTGCTGTCAAAGTGCTCACCTCTGACAAGACATTGTCCCCGGCTGTGCGACTCAAAGCACTATGTTTGTTTACCAAGGACATCACTGTTTGTGATAGCTATCTGGCTATTGAGGATTGTGATGTTCATAATGACTTTCTTGCTGATGTATTGGAGTCATGTTAAGCTTTCCTTTGCTGCTGATAACTTCACACTGATACCCTCCTTCACTCTATGCCACCCTATTACATACATACATTTGTAATCACTCCTTCTTCATATATGCTACATAGTCTGCCCACATTTGTTTAGCAATATTATCACATCATGCTGCCACCGCATCTCGCTCCTCTGCACTGAAGTTCCCCTCAAAGTCAGCTTGCACTATCTATTATGATTTCATCCTACTGCAGACTATATTTAGCTATGACTTGTCATGACTTGGCCATGACTGTGACTCATACTTACCATAGGTGGGTGATGGTGACTCAACTGGACTCGGGTTGCTGCAGTTCGACTCATCCTGACTCACAGTCATGCTGCAGTCCACTCTTTGCTACCTCACACCTCTCCGGTTGACGATGAGGAAGCAGAAAAATACAAGTGCGTGCATCCCCCACACTATATCTGCCTGCATCTTGTAACTCCCTCCTTTGATTAGGTCTGGGAGTTACTAGGCCCAGCCAATGATCATGTCCAGGAGGTTATCAAAACCCTGGCCTGGTAAGTGAGCATTTGCAAGTGAGTGCATTCACCACCCAGCATCCATTAGCTGCTGCACACTGACATACCTTGTTCAAGCAGGCCCCAAAGAAGACGGCCCTGGCCAATGATGACAATGTACTTGATATTGATGACCCCTAGGCCAGGTCCTGACCACGCTGATTGCTCACCCTCCTCCTCTACCATCCCTCCACTCTTCCCTGGCAGTGTATGCAGGCCAAGGGCCCACGGTAGGGTGTTTGTGGTTTCTGAGGTGCTATTGCATGGTACATGAGGAGGTGTGATCAAAATTCTTTGCAGATAGCACTGCAGATCAGGCTGGATTTGTGCGCGGATGAATCGGCAGGAAATCTTGAATCTGTAGCGAATGTGATGAGAACACATCCAGATCGGCGTACGATAGAGATTCAATCAATCGCATTTCCTTGACACGAGCACGTGATGCGATGGCGTGGACGCGAGTGCGCGTAGGCGCTCAAGACTTGTCGTTTTCGCTCGTGTCCTCTTCCTCTGCCTCACGCTGCCCTCTTCCCGCTGGTTCATTATGCCTCGCGCCTCTCGTCTCGACACCCAGATACACTATCGCTGTACTTGTCCTCCCTGTGCTGCCTCTAGGGTCCCCCAGTACCATACTCAAGACACTATTGACGAGCACCTGAAGCGACACACTCGACTCGGTGCACACTCCCAAAGGGTCCTTCAAGCAGCTGCTAAGAGCGGCCGCAAACCGCCCAACTCGCTGCAATCGCATGAAGCTCGCCATGACAGTCCGATGCCAGGGGGGTGGTGCGAGGGATCATCTGTGAGGGACGGTGATGGGACAGCGGGACTGGCTACGGCTTCTGGTGAGTTATCTGCAAGGGCTGGTCCATCTGGCGACTCTGGTATGGCACAGGACCCATCTATAGACGACTCTGGGGTGTTCTTTGGAGGAGACAGTGGCGATGAACCAGACTGGGCACCAGCGTCGCCGGCCGACGTCTTGCTGGGCGACCCGGAACGTCTGGATGGTGCTCCTTCACCCACTTGGAGCTTCTCTCGCTCACCTACCCCGCTCGATCAAAATCGAATGCCGGACAACCTCCCTGGGTACCAGTCTGACGGCGGTGTCTCGTACCGGGACAATTGTCGATCTCCTGGGGGATCTCCTGTGCCGGATATCCCATTGCGGCCCCCTACTCCTGCTGGCTCTGATGATGAAGACGACGAAGATGCTATCAACGTTGCTGACCTCTACGTCGACATAGAGGAGCTCTTCGACCAGATCCTCGAGGATGAAGAGGCTGAACTTGGAGACACACTTCCCACCGCATACACCTACGAGACTGGGCGACCTCGCACCTTACAAGAGCATCCGCTAATCCGCAACGCCTATCTGCACGTCTACCTCGCCTCTGCCGTCCATGGCGCCACAAAGGAACTGTGCAAACATCTGCTTGACGGCTACCATGTCCAGCTCGCCGCCCTTCCCCGAGTCACTGGTTTCACAGTCCCGGGCCTTGAGAACATGGCACGCACCCTTCGCACCGTTGAACGACGTCTTGGTGTCGACCCCAACCAATACATTACATACTACTTCGCCTGTAACGTCTGCTGGTCCCATCATCACCCTCGGGAGCTCTACAATCTCGACAGCCACCTCTGCACAGAGCCCGACTGCCCCGGGACTCTTTTTGAGTATAAGGACACCGTCGAACGCAAGAGGAAGCGCATACCCGTGAAGGTCATCCCCACCACCGGGCTCATTGACTCTATTGTGCGCATGGCCGCTCGACCCGGCAAAATCGACGACTGGAACAAGTGGCGCGGGGAAGATGATGCTGCCGGGCGCATCCCTCCAGCCGACAGCGATGACTGGGGCGGGTGGAACGATCCGTCGTACCGCATGTTCGATATGATGGATGGCTGGGGCTGGCGGTCGATCCGCGCAGGATTGGAGCGACGGCGCAGCGGCGAGTGGGGCGTCGAAGATGTCGACGTCGATGAAATGGACCAGTGTTTCGTCGCACTCCCAAATGGTCTCATTTTGCAAATAAATATAGACTGGTACGTTGTATCACTGCATATCCAGTTCCGCATGTAACTGACCATGTCGCGCAGGTTCAGGGCGATGAAGCGTGGAGGCTACTCTGTGGGTGCAGTCTACATTACAGTTTGCAACAATCCGTGCAGCGTCCGCTTCCGACGCGAGGAAACCCTGTTATATTGTGTTCTACCGGGTCCGCTAGAGCCGACAACTGAGCAGCTCAATCGCCTCCTTGCACCACTACTCACTGAGCTACAAAAGCTCTACAACGGTGTGTCTTAAACGTGTGATCTAGATATGTGTGTTATTAATCTCAAATAAGGCATATTAATCCGGAATACCTGCGAGAACAGCGGCCCCGCAGAAGCCGTTCACGCGTTCCTCAACAACATCTGTTCAGACCTGCCGGCTGCCCACAAGGCCAATGGGCTACGCGGCCACACGTGCGAACACTTCATGTGCGATCGGTGCGAGGTGTCGTTCTCCTCACTCGTCACTCCCGCATGCTTTGATACAGACAGTGAGTGCTGACCGGTGTCTCGCCATGACATAATTAAAATATATATCCATCCGCCGCACAGGTTTCCGACACCGCAATGATTGGAGATTTCTGAAGTATGCGTACCTCTGGCGTGATGCTGACCCCGATGATCAGGCAGAGATCTTCGAAAAGCGGGGCGTACAATGGTCCTTATTCAACTGGCTCCCTGACTGGCTCCCGGGGAGGGATTCACCGCCGGACTTCATGCATGGCGCCTATTTAGGTGCGTGTCTAATGCTATCGAGTACATTGTGCTTATCCACTTGTAGGTGAAACGAAACACGTCATTCAAAGCATCCTGTTCAAGGGGGGTATGTTCACGCAGCGAAGCCGGCGCGACAAGCCCCTGGAGAAGTTCGAGGCATACCTGAAGACCATTGTGTGGCCGCCGTCGGTCACACGACTACCTGACGGGGTATGCATCCACCCGTGATCCGCGTCGCTGCTGCTAATGTTGTTCAGCTCATCTCGGGCGGGGCCGGCAAAGCAGACCAGTGGCGCGCATTTGTGCACGTCCTGATTCCCGGGCTGTATGCAGCGTGGAATGTCGACGGCGATATTCCAGATAAGAACACCCCGCTCCCTCGCGCCTCGACCAAGGCTGCCAAGGGACGTGCACGCGTCGAAGAGCTTTTGAATAAGCGCCGCCGAGCTAATGTTGCGGCCGACCCAGAGACCACACTTGCAGACATGGAGGAACTCGCGCAGCTGTGCATGAACCGCAACTATCTGCAACACTTCAATGTAACAATGGAGTGGGCCTGCGCAATCCGGATCTACGGCTCCCAGTCGATCAGCGTTGCGGAGACTGAACGTGCCGCAAACTGCCATGAACGGGCGTGCCAGACCTGGACTCGCATGTTTTGCCACCTGGTGCCTTACTTCCATATCTTGATGCATCTGTGGTACTGGATCTTGATGCTGGGCCTGGTCTACGGCTGGTGGACCTACCCTTACAAGCGCAACAATGGATTCCTCGCGAAATTGCGGCACAACGGCAAAGTAGGCGGGGAAATCGAAGCGACGATGATGCGAGGATGGACCAAAGCCATCCTCCTCTTCGAACTGGTACGGTTCCATGTCCGCACATGAATATATGGCTGACGCGCGAGTCATAGATACAACATCTGGAGGATCTGGGCGATCAGAAGACTCCCGAAGACATAGCCATGATCACCAAGCTACGGGGAGTTCTGAAGGGCGACGCGAGCAAGTCTACCGCGCAGTGCGGTACATTACTAACATTGATTGCCTCTATGAGTGCTTCCAATGACACCGGTACGTGCCTGACCTCCAGCGCCCGCGGCAAGCAAGGCATTCACACAGGCCGCAGCCACCGTCGACCTCTCCCCGCACCCGCAGATTGTGGATCTGCGCTCGCTGGGCGTGTACGCGCTGCTGTATCATTACCTGCGCGCACTTTGGGCTGACGTAGTCGAGCTCAAACCGGACACTGCACCAGCTGGCGTGCCGGGCGAATGTTTTGTTGCAACGGCGGTACAATCACACGCGACCATCAATGTCTGCGGGCTGCGTTACGGGGCCGGCTCGACTCCCCGAGGGGCGAAGTCGCGATACGCCTACAGAAATGGGCGGCAGCCCGTCGAAATCTCCCATATATTCCACATCACGCACCTACGCGACGACCCCACCCTGCCACCTCTCCACGCATCTTGCGCGATCGTGCAAGACTTCGCGTCGGACGATGGCATCCCGGAGATGCCCTGGGCATTGCGGTACGGTTGTCAGGCACAATTTCTCAAGGTACTCACACACATCATGACCTTCGCAGTGCCGTGGATCTAGGCATCGGCACATGGGTTGAGGGTATACTCTGCCACAGGATGGTCATCGATGTGCGGGATTTCTCGGGCCACTTCGCCCTCGCGACCGTGACGCACCAGAACCAGGACCTCTGGATCACTATGTCTCTGTCGCATGTAAGAACTGACTGGGACTTTCTGTGCCACCTTGCTAACATCCGTGGGCACCCTCAGAACACGCAGGAGCCGGACAACGACGATCAGGACGATGTCTGATTGATTATTCCACCCCCAGGATTCCCTTCTCACAAAGGCCGCCTCGCCGTGAGTCCGAACCGACAGCCGGGACTCGCTAGACGCCTCTATCACCGGACCTTACGCAGCGTGCCCTTCCCCATCTTCGCCCCCTTCCCCATCTTCCCCTGCCCCAACCTCCCCTTCATCTGCGGCGTCGTCTTCCTCGTCCCCGCCATCGTCTTCCTCATCGTCCATACCACCTCCTGCAGCGACCGGCACTACCGTCTCGCCCTCCACCCAGTCGGCGAGATACTGCATGCTACAGAACGGCTTACCATGAATGCTCCTCAGCCAAACCGGGTCGACCATCGCTTTGGCGAGCCTAGGGGGCCCTCGAACATGCGCATGGTACGTGTTCCCCTGAATGGACGACTCGGCATCCCCACTAGCGCGCGCCCTGAAGACCAGGACATCAACCTCGTCATAGCGGACAGTGCCCTAACGGCAAGCTCAGTCGTAGTCGCGCGCATTAATAGGTGAGTTCTCACCTCGGGCGCCCTGTATGCGGGGGCACGCTGCTTCCATGCACGCGTCTTAGCAGGAGGTTTAGTGGTGTTCAGCTTGGCAGCGGCGACGCGTGCAGGCCCCTCGCCTTCCGTGTTTGGGTCCAATGCCGTCGCTGTGGGCGCGCCGACTTTGTCAGTCTCGTCGGTTGACTGGAACTGCCACTGGAAGAACCAGTCCCAGTCTGCGTCCCGCAGCGCCGGTATCTGATGCCTAACCACAGAGCGCTCGGCGGCTTTCTAGACAACACTGTGAGTACGCTAGTTGAACGCGGACAAGGAATACGAAGCTTACAATGACTTTGCGGCGCTTGTGGCGGGCATGCGCCCGATTCTCCTCCTGTGTGGTCTTCGTCAGGTCGCGCAACTCACGGTACCGCTTCGCCATGGTGGTGAAGCACCGCTCCAAACCGTCCTCAATGACATCCTCCGGGAGTTGATCCAGGACCTCCTGCGTGAGTGACGTCGACCACTTGCGCCCGTTGAGCTTGATCTTCTGGACGACGTCTCCAGCCCATCCCTCCCGGTTAGTCGGCCAGCCGTCGTCCCACCGTGGTCGCAGGAGCCGGTCCGGACTCATTGGGTCGTCGGAGGACCAGAAGCCGCGCTGCATCGGTGGGGGCAGCGGAGCCTTCTTGCGGACCCCTATCAAGCCCAGGAGGACGCTGCGGACGCAGGCCTGCATTGCGGTGAGTTAGGAACAAATATGCGCGCGCATTTGGTTGGCACTCACAAAGAAGAAGCTCGTCTTCAGCTCGCTCTTGCTCATGGTCGCTAACACTGCGCTCTCGTCCATTTGTCCCTGCACCGCTGCCCCACCAGCGCCGTCCATGACATTTCCCGTAGCGAAGGCCTCAAGTTCCCGTAGGCGTTCACCCGTGGTCTCCAGGTTCTCCACAGCGTCTTCCGCCGCCTCGCAAAGCTCCTCAGCCTCGGTCTTGAGCTCCATAACAGCTGCGGACAACTTGGTGTTCTCGCGCGTGAGTCTCTTGATGTGATCTTCCTGGGACTCCATCTTCAGCTGGAGCGCCTCTAACTCGTTCTGCAGACGCATCAACATGTCTGTCCCCCGCTTGCCGAGGCCTGGATGAATGCGCGGTGAGTACCTTCAACGAGTCTTATCGTTGCGATGATCTTGTACTTACCTGCGATGAGGTCGGCCCCACTGGCAGCTGGTCCCTTGCCTTTGTCAACTGGGGCAGCAGCCCCTGCGTCTGCGCCGGCCTTGGCGCGTGAGCTACTAGCCGCCGCGGATGAAGTGATGGCGCGACGACGAGGTTCCGTCGACGGCGACACTTCCGGCGCTGGACTGGCTGCTTGGTGTCCGGTCGGAAACCCGGGCGACGCGGCCCTGCTGGAGACGACCGACGGCGCGCGAGACGGGGGCGCAGGCGTACTCCGCACAGAGGTTGTGGCCGAGCGAGTTGCGTCACCGGGGCGGTGCAAGATGTTGAAGCTCGGCGGGACCAGGAAGGTGCCTCGTCCCGTAATGGGACGCCGGATGCGTTTGGGTGGTGGCTCTCTATCAGGCGATATGGGTTCCGCGGGGCGCGTCCGCGCATCGGCGCCTTTCGGCGTCGACATTGGTATGCTGAGGTGCACGCGATCGAGCGAGAGGAACCTGGGTAGCTGAGGCGGATTCGAGGGGCGGGGATGAATCCGTGGGCGCGAGGTGAGCTTTGAGCTCCGTCTTATACGCCTGCGCGAGCTCTAATGCTTCTACACAACTCGCTGTCAGCTCTGACATCCCCCAAGGTATGTCGCGGCCGTGAAATGCCATTCGCGGACGTCCCGATGCGATACCGCGGAGGGTCTGGTGCAACTGGGCGAGCAGGGGCGCGAGTAGCTGGGCTGAAACGAGCGCATGCGCGTATGTATTGGCGTCGGGTTACTCCCTACTGGTACACGGATGATAGACTACATATACGGAGCCTTTTTATGCACAACGCGTGGCTGTATCGTGCGCAACAGCGAGCGGGAGGCGATTCCGGATCGGGACGGTGGCTTGGGAGGGCGCTTTGAATGTCAAACAGATCCCGATCACATGTCGGTTTCGACAGCGATCCCTGTCGAATCTGGCGTGGGCCACATCTTCTGCAAATCTGCGACACATTCTGGATTTCTTCCGGATGTGTTCTGAACAAATCCAGCCTGATCTGCAGTGTAGCAAAGGGCACCTAGCTGTGGTCCAGGCTTGTAAGTGAAAGTGGATGGCACCTGGCTGTGGTCTGCACATAATCAAAGAGGCGGGGGAAGCTGGGCGAGGCAGCACAGTCACAGTGAGGGAAGTGGGATGAGTCAGAAAACAATGCTGGGGTGTTGCCCTCAGCCAGTCATCATGCTGCCAGCCACAGTGGGAACAGCCCAAGCCCATGCATCATTTTGACCATGTGAAGACACAACTGCAGCCGGCTGGCCTCCGTCAGCTGCAGCGGCAACTGCAGTGACTGCTGATGAAGGTGGTCAGACAGCAACTCATTGTGTGTGCAGGTTGCAGTTTTGTTGAGTAAGGCAGTGGAGATCACCTTGGGCAAGGAAAAATGCAAAGTGTGTGTTGTTGCAGGCCTCTCTGAGTGCCAGGTCACTCCCTCGAACTTTGACTTGAGTGGCACATTTGTCCAGGATGGGAACTCCTTTTTGATGGCCCAGACTCCAGATAATATAAGCCTTTGGCAGTCCCAGACAATATTTCAAATCGGTCTTGCAGGCTCAGAATGGCCTGGAGACGCTTCACTTTGGTGTCGGCAGGGACCATGGTGACCAGAACATCTTGAGCAATTGTGGGGTCATTGACATATGCAGAATCATCTGGATTGGCCGCAGCCACCTTCTTTGTGGGCTGGTTAAAGGAACTGTGTCAGTGCAGAACAAATGATGAATGCATGGTAATGAACACACATGCTTGCATTTGCCTAGTGTCTTAGCGCTGGGGGGTTGCTACCTGCAAACCTCGCCAAAACAGTGGGTCATTGACAATTGAGAACAGGTTTGGAGGACTGGTGATGGTACACTGTACATCGTGGAACCTTGACGTTGATGTGGTAGTTGTGTTGGTCTTTGCGACAGGACTTATCTATTAAGTGATACAAAGTGTACCAAATTGTGTTTGGTGGAGTACTTTGCAGATCTTATTCAAAAATGCTAGCTAAACTCTACACCATGGTGATGTTTTTAGTAGTTTCTATTCGTTAGATATTTTATACCCCTCTTGCAATCATGAATGCCAAGCACTAAGCGCTGAGCAAGTGAAGTGGAGTTGTCCATGGAACCTTCACACTCTGCTACCCCAGACTTCCCTTGCAGGCGCTTCCACTGTGTTCAAGAGCGAAGTGAGGTATGTCCAAGGAATGTCGACCCCACCTGCACTGTTTGACACCAATATTCAAGGACTTCCTCGCTTTTGCTCGCTCACCATAGTGCAGATGTCCTCGTTTGATAACCTGGCATTTCCCAGACTTCATTTTATGCTATGCCTGATTATTTAGCACTGCAGAAGACCATTGAGGCATTTCTCAATCATCTCAAGCATCAACAGGTCATTCTTATAAAACAAGCCACCATAGCAAATGGAGCCATATTATCACGATAAGTGCGGTTTTATAGATGTTATATGACAGTCATTGCATTGACATAATTAAGCTTGATTCTCTGATATTATTGGCCCCCTTTGAGCCCTAGACAGCTTTGAAGTAAGAGTTTACCCTTACCTACCACTTACCCCACGGGTAAGGTTGCGGCTGCTGTAGCAAGAGTATTTAAGGCAGATGAATGTCCAGATCGGAACAAGAACTGGCTGCACAAAGAGGACCAGCATCCATCGTGTTTGTTCACTCGTCTGCACTGGAACATTGTTTCTGTAAGTTACCCACTCATCTCAACCTTTACAAGCTACGCAGACACTCACCCGCCCACCAAGAACTGTACTTCATCCAGTCCGGACAGCAGGTGTGAACTACCATGTGTCTGCATATATACACCCGCCACCTTTGCGTGCATGAGAGTAGCATGATGGCTGCGTGTGTAAGCATTGGCAAGTTGACCAAAACCAAGAATAGCGAAATGTTTAAGGGTGGAGGGGCAGAGAGGCAGAAAGGAAGGAACTGAGGGAGACAGAACAGGGAGGCTTTGTGGAGGTAGGTGGAAGGGTTTTTGTGCATCCAAGTTTCAATTCAGTGTGATAATTGCAACTTTTGTGCTGTTGAAACCCCACAGTGGGTTTGAATTGGTTCAACATCCACATATTATTTCATCCTGTATACAGGGGCTACTGTAGAAGCAATGACATATATACCATCTATCCACACTGACAGAGATATGGATACAACCATCTGTGCTTACCGCTTGCTACTGTTATATTGAGGTATTTCTGCTGATATATGTTGCAGTAGAAAAATGAGTCAATATTGCACACTCTGTGTTACAGCTGAGGTCTTATTCGGCTCCCATCAGAAATATTCAACTCCTGGCACATATTGGTCCATATGTCATCAACTTTAAACCATCATAAGGTTGATTAGCAAAATCCAATGATGTGGAAACAATTTGGATGTAGACACTTTTGCTACCAGTGTTATGATGCCTAGCCTGAGGAACTGCGACAGGGGCACTGGCAATCTGCAGGCACACCAACCTCCTCGCCCTAATCATATGTTACCAAATCATGAGCCTCCGACACTCTCCCACAGACAAGATCTTATGCTTGGCGACATTTTCTGCAATCAGGTTGCTGGCATCAACATGCCCAAGCTGTTATGGATCTGGACTGCTGCTGGAGGCACCCCTCTTTGGAAGCCAATCTCAGAAGGATCATGATGCCCGCAAGGACGGCTGATGACTTTATCTCACCTCAAAGCCCCTCCTGGGTCTTGTTGAACTGGTGTGTCAAGCAGATGCTCAAACAGCATCATCCCCAGAGTGGTGAGTTTATGTCAGTTATCTGCAAGATCCACACACATTGTTCTACGCTGCAAATTTCCTCCTACATAGGCTTTTGTGGTGTGTTCTACCAAGGACCATTCTCATGAGGAAGGGTAAAGAGTTGCATATGGTAATCATTGTTTCACCACTAGCTACTTTCACGCCAAATCCCACTAAATCGCTATTGTATCCATGTGCCTTGTTTGCGAACGTGATCCTTCTGGTGCTGTGATGAACTAGAGCCCCTACTGGCTTCAACCTTACAGCTAGTTTGGAAAGCTCACACCCACATTTTTTTGGTCTACCAACAGTAAGCATGGAACCCTTTGCTGTTCACACTCCCCCGATAGTGTGTTCCCCTCAGGCAGAATACTCTGGCATCGACCAAGTGTCTGCACGTTGATTCCGTCTTAACTCTTGTCCCTCACCTTGGCAAATCTTGGGTGAAGCTCCCCACGGACTGATTTTGATACATACATCAAGCCTCAACACTATGCTGCGGGGTGCTTGCACCATTTTCAAGGAGGCTTACTTAACACATCACAGCACTTCTCCTAGACATGCAACATGTGTATGATGTGCTATCTGATTGGTTCATGTTGTACTTGCAACTCATGATACCCTTTTCGAGGTATTCTAGCATAGCCCAAGGGGTCAAGCACACTCATCTGCCACACCATCCCGCACACTGCCCAGAACATCTTGTCCTGGCTTGACAGGAGGAACTTCAAGTTGCCAAACTTCACGTCCAACACTACCACTCACTACGCTGAGTGTCTGAACCAATGTACTGTAGTATAAACCTTTCTCCGAAATATGGATGCCTTTGTTGGCAAACATATCAATCACCTTGATGCATTAAACAGGTGGATGCACCTCCTGTGCCACAGCGAGCTTCATGGTGAGAAGCATCCTGGGGTTTTTATCATCATGATAGTTGTTGGAGTGTGTGTTTACTTAGGCAGGCTAGCATCTCTTCTGCTCTCTGGATGTTTTCCACCGAAGCAGCATTCCCATTCTTACTGTGATCGTCTCTTACCCTTCCAGCTCCCTTTTCGATGTAACTAGTAAGATGACCCCAGGGGATACACCTGAGGGTATCTTGAACATGTGTCAGGAGTTCATTTATCCAAAGTGAGTGAGTGTTATACTGTGGGTGACTCTTTGATAGCATCTATGTTAGATTGTATTAACAATGATGCATATTTGAATACTTTGAAAAACACTTAGAACAAGCGCAGGGAACTTTGATGTCTGAATATTCTTCACAGATAAACAAGGTGGAATCGATGTAGGATCCATATATGTGGATGATCTGGACTCTTAAAAAGGATATCATATCTACAATTTGACATCCTCATCTTCCACCTCTGCATCAATATTCTCCCCATGTCTATGCCCACCATTGAATGCTGCTTGGCTACAGGAGATGGAAGGTGCGGGCCGCCACTGGTGGAACAGACCTACAAGCAAGACCGACTCAATCCTGTGGGGCCAGCAGCACTCACACCACAACTTGGGTGGAGAGGGCCATGACTGGCAGGTCCGATTGATGGTATGCATTATTAGTAGCATATTGATGCCATTCACACCTGTTTTGGACACACCACAGAGATACTCAGAAATACCCAAATTACAGCTACTATATCATTACATATAGTATGAGCCTGGGTGCCAGAGTGCTGCAATTGGGAGAGATGGTTTCGCTTGGGGCTCCTGTTGAACACCTTGAAATGGTTCATAGTTGGAAGACCCTCGTCCACCAATATTCCCATCCGCTTTGCCACATTCTCTCGACCCCTCCATGACCACCCGGTCCACATTGGTACGGGCATCCACTGTGAGCGCATGTATTCGATGCATGACAGACCTGCCTGGCTAGCTTTGCCCCCTGCCATTGATGAGCACCCACCGCTATTGAGGCCAGCAAGCCACTGCGCCCAAGGTACATTGTGCTGCACTGGAGGCACCACATCCACAAGCTGCACTGGAGCTGGGGTGTGCCACACTGGAGGCCTGCGTTGGAGCAGCTCATTCTGGGAAGGAGAAAGGATGGAAGCGGCCACACGGGACATGCCCCAGAGCAGTACAACACTCAGGAGAGATAGTGGCACAGAGCACGATAGCGCGATCGTACTCACTGTGCACTGTCCAAAGTGTGCCTCAATCGCACCATTGCACAAACCAAATAGGTCGAGCCCAAGTACTGTTGCGTAGATAGGACCCTGTACATAGTCAATGGGGGGTCCTGGAGACTCCCCAGAAAACTCCCACCTCTTTACCTCTTTACCTCTGCTCCGGCTGTCAATGTCTGTGTCCAGGACGTCTTATCGTGTTTGGCCTACAAGTGAGTTACGCCCCACTCTCAACCAAGCATACAGCATTGTCGACTGCATCCCCCACTGCATCCACATCCATCTTGTGTCTGTGTCTGTGTTTGCGTCTGCACCCACACCTGTGCCTGTGTCAAAGTTTGTGTTCATGCTGCGCCCTTACTGGTGTTAGGTCTGTGCCTCAGTTGCCCATCTATCTCCTCATTCGACGGAGCCCGGAGGTGTATCGTGCATCAGAGTAAGGACATAATATATTGGTCCGCAGTACAACAGTCTTGGTGGATCCGCAGCGTACATAGTTGTGGCAAACTGTCCTAGGGAACTCGAGCCCTTACTCTCCCTCACCCCCCTTTTCTCAGACGTCCTCTCCCCCTCGGCTGTTGGCCGTCAATGCACATCTAGATACATCAGCACTGCATGTCTTGTGCGCTGCTAGCGGCCCCACAAAGCAGCATGCTCTTGATGAGATGTAGGTTGGCCGACATCAAATGCACCTATTGTGAAGCACAAGGATGTCAGGGTACACTTTGAGCCAAACACACATTGTTCATTGAGTACAGCGAAGTTGTGGGGATGTACAAAATGGCAAATATGTGTTTGAAAGAAATGGTTAGTGTGGAACTGGGGAGTAGAATCACATAGCGGATTGGGCGCATTTAAACAGAGTGGAGCAGGGTGAGGACATACCAAGATGGCTTTCAACTGCCTTGTTGACGCAGATGGGGCATGAGGGGCCATGTTGCGCATGGAGAGCGACAGATGACACACCGCTTGAGCAGCATCATCGAGCTCAAGTGTCTTGCTTTTGTTGTTAATGAGGTGTGCTGCATGAGCACGCAGAACCGGGAGGGTAGAAATAATGCAAAGGAGTTGTATATGCTCTTTCTGTGGATCCCCGCTCTCCCAGGGGAGTGGTGTGGAGCGATGGTGATGTTCCGGAATTCCGGGTAAGGTGAGTGTCATGATGAGTTATGGATGTTCTGCCACTGATTGTCAGCCATGGCTCTACCAAATCACCCCAAGTGCCCACCACAAAGCAAGCCAAGTATGCAAGACATACAATAGCAAAGCACTATCATGGATACAATGGGATAGGGGTTATTGTTAACAGCAGCTTTTATTTAGGTATATGTCAGGGGACAGGCAGCGAGCACCATTATCTGAGACGGCCGAACAGACATCCGTGCTGCGCCAGCATGGAATTCTAGTCCCTGTGGTACTTGGAAAGATTTATTGAAAAGCAGCCGTATTTTGGCAGTATTCTCCTCGCTGTTTCACCAGTTCCTATCTATATAGCACATATTATATATCATCAGAAAGCCTCTGACAAGCTCTACAACATGGTGCCATTATGGTTTTGATTTGATACAAGTTAGTCTATCGATCAAGGAAATACTTGATTTTCAACTCTCCAATGATGATATTTCCTTTACTACTTCAACAGTTCTCATCCATATAGCACATATTATACATTATCAAAAAGCTCTTCACAAGCTGTACACCATGGTGCTATTATGGTATCCATTTTCCTCATATTGCACTGTAGATTTATATGACATACTTTACTTTTGCCCATCTAATCCAAGCCAGGATGCATGCATGAGTTGATGCATCAATCACTCCAGTGACTGCCAATGGTAGATAACACACAAAAACAGATATGATGCTCTATGTTAGGTGATAGCTGACTAGCCTCTTTTACTGGCATGTGGCATACATATACTACTACCAGATGATCGCCTTAAAAGGAAACTAAGGGTATAGTACTTGAACTACGCTATAACATTTGTTAAAGATCTCTCTTGATACAGTGTATAGCCTGTATGCATAGTGGGCCGTGAGTGGCACATGTGCTGTGCAACCTAGGGTTACATAAGCACCCAGGGAGAGGCTTTACATGTGGTAAGAATTGTAATTAGAACCGACCCCTAAGCTGTGCTAATAAAGGGGAACCCTAACCCAAGTTGTGTAAGTAAAGGATGTAGGTGGCGCCTATTTGAAAACTAACCTTTGATCAGCTGGGTTCCAATTTTTTTCCCACGTACACGACTTGAGTTGGCAGGAAGGTCACCCCATAAGAAACGATTTCATTCCTCATCAATCGTAACACCTCAGATGATACCCCATGAAGATATTTAGGGAGTTTCTTCTCCTAGTATAGTACAATACTCAATATGTTGTTGAGTAGAGTAATGATCTAAGCTCACTTCATCTGCCCAGGTACTCAGCTATCACAATCACATGTCACTTGGAAATCCTTGTCTCACTATGGTGGAGATATCCTCATTTTATGATTCTGTTTACCCCGGACTTCATTTTAATCCAAACCTAAGTTATTTAGCTCTGCAGATGACATACTTATAGCATTTCTGAATTATCTCCCAGCATGTACAGGTCGTCATATAAACTAAGCCACATCAGAAAATGGAGTCACATTATCACCATAAGTGCAGTCTTATTAATATCATATGACAGTCATTATATTGATTTTTTGACTGAGGTTAATTCTCTGTTAGTATTGGCCCCTATTGAATCCTACACACTGTTCAGGTAAAAGTTTACCCATACCCCACTCCTATTGATTTATTGTAAAGATTTCAACAAGATATCCATCTTTGTAGCTACTCTGACAGCATACAGTAGATCTGACATATATCAATTAAATCCTTTGTTAAATGGGCTTTCAATAAATGGCCTGATCTTTATCTTCTAACACATTTATGCCCTCCAAGTTTTGGGAGCATTCCCTTAATGTTCATACTATCCCCTCCATCTGAATGGCAACAGGGCACCATTTAGCCGCACAATGTCTTTAGGCACTCTCAGCATTATTCAAGGTCTTCAAACATGGATTACACCATAAAACACACTTTCTTAACATGATCATATACAGTGGCGCTCAAAAGTCATGCACACCGGTCCGGCGGCCTGTGTTTTGGCTGCTGCATCTTTCCTACCAAACAGATTCCTTCGAAACTTTGTAGTATTGTTCTTCATGGATCTCTTCACATGTACATAATATTTTTATCATAATTTGTTCAATTGTCGTCAGGCTACCATGTCCGAGTGGGCAGTACACTTAGGCGCCCAACGTATGAGCTACTCGAGGATTGACATTCACATAGCACTACAGTTGGGAAAACATTATTTGAAACAAAACAAAACATGTACATGTGTTAATATTTAGTATAGCGACCCTTTGCCTCCTTCAACACAGCCACACGGCGTGGCATGGACTTGTAGAGTTTGTGAATAAACTCAATATCCAGCCGTTCCCATTCCTCCTGCAGCGCAGCCCACAACTGGTCGAGGTTGGTCGGAAGGGGATTCCGAGCACGCACCTGCCTATCCAGCTGATACCAGGCATGTTCAATGATGTTCATATCGGGGGAGGAGGGTGCCCAGGGCAGCATCGTGATGTTGTGGTCAGCAAACCAAGTCCTTGCACGCCAAGAAGTGTGCTTCGGGTCGAGGTCTTGCTGGAAGATGATGTTGGAGATTGTGTAAGAGTGATCGGAGAGTGATCCCAGAAAGGAGGAATCGAGGATATCACAGTATTGGACCGCGTTCATGCGCCCCTCGACACGGTGGAGGCGCCTGGGACCATCCCATGTCAGGCACCCCCACACCTGGAGACTTCCACCGCCATGCTTCACGTTCTTCTTCACATTCCAATCTTCAAACTCCTCTCCGGGCTGTCTCCGGCAATACTGCTTCCCATCCGAGCCAAAAAGGTTGAATTTCGACCCGTCCGAGAAGACCACCCATTGCCAGTCCCACTCTGACCACCCCTCGTGCGCCGTAGCCCACGTGGCGCGACCCTTGACGTGAGCCGCGGTTAGCAGTGGCTTCTCACGGCGTAGACGTCCGGGATACCCAATTTCCGCCAGGTTTCGCTGGACAGTTGAGTAGCCAGCCTTGGGGAAAAGCGAGCGCTTGATGTTGGCAGCATCGCGGGCCTTCCCACTCTTGATCAACATCTCGGTGTGCCGCAGCGAGCGTGGGCTGAGAATGCGTGGGCGGCCAGTCCGGGTCGGTTTGGTGTAGAAATCAAGATTTTCTTGTAGTTTGGCGTAGTTGCGACAGATGGTGGAGGGATGGTAGCCGAGCTCAGCAGCGATGTCACCAGTCTTGTGGCCATTCTCGTACATGGTCCAAAGTTTGGCCTTTTTGGTGGGAGTAAGTTTGGGCATTGGGTGAAGAATAGTGAGACCGTGTGTTCAACAAAGTTTCGGGGTTTATAGTGAGATAGTTGTTGAATTATTCCCGAAGGATGACGAAGGCTATCTGTGGGAAGGGGGCCCAAACAAGTACTCACAAAAGCCCAGCATTGTTGCTTTGCATGTACCGTCCTCCACTGACCGCCGATTGGTCTCAAAATTCAACGGCATAGTCTACATCCTATAGTGTATCCTCGGGCCAAATTTCACATTATTACATGCATATTTACAGACGGTACGGGACAAAGACTGCGGCGCACGGGCGGCTAATACTGGCGTGCACAACTTTTGAGCGCCACTGTAATCTCATCATCTGATCAGATTGCCATATGGTCCAGCAGCACACATTAACTGTAATACTGCATTTATGATAATCTAAGCTCTTTTTGGGATAATTTAACAATCATATAGACAGCACCATTTCAAAGATATTGAAATTCTGAGCCTGGTGGTATATAACACTTGGAGGAATGCAAGATGTCATCAGGTCATGTGCCTTGGCGCTTTTTCCAATTGTGGCACTAATAGGATTTTGTACTGTGCATAGTGGCTGCATTGGCCACATTCAGATGATTTTTGAATATGAATTCCCCTTATTGTTAGCTTCCTGGTGATATATATTTTATGATATATGGTCCAGTAGGAGGGGAAATATTGAGACATTCGTGTTGGGAACCAAACAAGACCACATTTTGTGGCAGGGGAACACAAAGTGCAGCTCCCCTGCCAGTGAATGTGGTCTTGTTTGTTCTCAGCCACACATTACCTGGTCCTTTATACCCACCACTTCATCTATCCAGCTTCATTATTACATTTCAAGGCATTTTCATTATACAGGGCAGAAGATAGTGTTAGAAATGCATTAAAGAAGCGGCATTATCTGGACCTGAACATATTTTCACTTCAATGTATGCCTTCAAATGGCATTCCATTGACCTACAAACAACACCATTGTGTAGAGCTCAATTTTCTGAACCTGACAGTATATAACACTTCATATTAGGCCTGGGAAAACACGACCTAGGCCTACACTGATCCCCATTAGTGACAAATTGTGACCCAGAGTCACTTATGGTGGGTTGTTTGGTGCCTAGCACCCACAGATGTGCTCATAATATCATATAAACACCCCCATTACATTCTACTCATCAACAACTTTCTGGTGATATATAATTGTAGTATGTTCCACAATACAATCACCTATTAACAAGCATATTATTTTGAGCTGTGGCTGAAAACAAACACAGCCAAAGCTAGTGGCACCACAACGTGATTCCGTGTTGGTGTGCCATCAGGTCTGTGCCCTTGGGCACTTATTGCTACTTGTGGCATTGATGGAATCTTGTGTGCACATATGAATTCTCATCCATAGCTTTCTGGTGACTTGGGTGGAGAGGGCCATGGCTGGCAGGTCCGATTGATGAGAATGAATTTTTCAATGACATTGAATCAAACTGCCATTTGTTATTTGCTCTTTGGTATCTGTGCTATCTAAATAGGAGTAATATATACTCCTATACAGTACAGAAATACTGCATGTCTTAGTGTCAAAAGCACTGCAACAACACATCACAATTTTCTGAGTGATTCACCCTATTGGTGTATGCAATTTTAGTGTATGCAATTTGGATATCAAAATATACTAGTATACCTGTTATAAACTGTTTACAGCCACTGCAGAAGTACATTAGCAGATGTGAGACAATAGTGTCCTTCACAGTGCAGATGATTCATAAGCACTGATGTATATTATGTGCTATAACTGCACCACTTTCTTCCAATCACAATATGCAGGACAATGTGAATCAATATTTTCTCACACATACAAACTATATCTGATCAATATTTCAGATGTATTTGTTTTCAAGCATCCAGTATTCTTTTCCACTTCATTTGTCACACTCAACTATTGATCCAATCCAAACTTATATTATCTGACCTCTGTGCTCAGCTAGGCAAGCCCCATGGTAATCAACATTGCTGTGCCCAAGCCTTGAATAAAGTGAAAATATTGGCTTACTATATCCTAGATGTAGTCTTATACATGTTACATGACAGTCACTCCTTTCCTATATTGAGCAGGGCTGATTCTCTAGCATTAAAGGCTTCCTCTCAAGCTTAGGCAATTTACAGGTGAGGGTTTACTCATTACAGCCTATTGCTGAATTTTTGAGTTTGCCCAGGAAGACATTGATATTTGCAAGTACTGTCATGGCATAAAATGGATCAGATAGACAATGAACAAGCCCTTCAATGAATAGCCTGATCATACACTTTACATTGATGATATTTCAGATGCTTACACTATGCACTATTTTCAAAAGGCAACAGGGCAATGTTCAGCAGAGTGATAATCTTATTAGGCTTCCATTATTATCTGTATGCTCTATCTTGTGTAACCATATCACCTGATCTGATTGCTAAATATAGTGCAACAGCCTGTAATACTGCATTCATGATATTCTGAGCTCCTTCTAGGGTTATTTAATAATCATATAGACAACACCATTGGATAGAGATTGAAGTTCTAAACCTGGTGTTATAAAACACTAGGGGGGAGGCAATGATGTCATCAGGTCATGTGCCATGGGCGCTTTTTTCCAATTGTGGCACTAATAGGATTTTGTGTTGTGTATCTGAGTGGCCCCTGCACCGGCCACATCCTGATTGTTTCTGAATATATGTATTCTGTTCATCCATAGCTTCCTGGTGATATATATTGCATGACATAGGGGCTAGTGGGGGCCAAGATATTGAGGCATTTGTGATGGGAACCAAACAAGACCATACTTGGTGGCAGGGGAGCCGTGCTCTGCGTTCCCCTGCCACCAAGTATGGTCTTGTTTGTTCTCAGCCACAGCTGCAACTCATTTTGCGCACTGTTGGCTCATTCCTCACCACAACTTAGGACATTTGTATATCATTGGAAAGGTCTTTCCATTGTGCATCTAATGGTGGTACAATCATGGTTTTATATTGAGTATACAGGTTTTAATGCACCAAACACTAATTGTGGCTGAAGGCCATTGCTAGATTGTATGGACAATATCCAGTCTTTATGCTCCCTATTCTATGTATCCAGCTTCATTATTAGATTGCAAGACACTTTCATTATATAGGCCAGAAGATATGCTGGCAATGCATTAGAGAAACTGCATTATCTGGTACTGAACATCTTTTTGCTCCAATTTATGCCTTCAATTGGCATCCTTTTGACCTACCAACAGCATCATTGTGTAGACCTCACTTTTCTGAACCTGACAGTATAGAATACTTCATATCATGCTCAGAAAGACACTGACCTAGACTCACATTGATCCCCATTAGTGACAGATTGTGACCCAGTGTCACTTATGGTGGGTTGTCTGGCTTGCAGCACTCACAGATGTGCTCATAATATCATACAAACACCCCCATTGCATTCTCCTCATCAGCAGCTTTCTGGTGATATATGATAGTAGTATGTTCCACCATATAATCGCCTATCAATGACCAGATTATGTCGAGCTGTGGCTGAAAACAAACAAAGCCAAAGCTAGTGGCACGACGACGCTAATCCGCGTCGGCATGCCATTTGCTTTGGCTTTGTTTGGCTCCAAACAGAGAAAGGTCAATATCTCAGCTCCCACTTGTCCAAATATGACATATTATATATCACCAGGAAGCTGTTTACAAGGTGAATCCATCTGTGCAAAGAGATGAAGGATCTGGTTCCATTATGATAAGATATCAGCTAGATTAATTCCCATTAGTGCCACAATTGGCAATAAGTGCTAGTACCATAGCATATATTCACCAAATGGTCAAGTGTCATATACCACTGGACTCAGAATATCGATCTCTATTCAACTGTGATGGTATACATCTAGTGTACCTACACAATAGATGCTATACCTCAATATAATATCAGCAAGAGGTAAGCACAGATAGTAGGGTTTATATCTCTGTCAGTTTGGATGGTATATATATGATTGTTTCCATTGTAGACCCAGTACATTCAAAGGAACATAATGCACTGATAATCGATACCTGAACATGATATTGGGCTTCAAAGATCACAAACATAGCATTTGCCTACAAAGTGGTGCAAAATGTACCAAATCGTGTTTTATGCCATACTGTGCTTACCAATAAATGGTGATATGTATATCATTGGAAAGTGCTTGCTGAGCTCTACACAATGGTGCTGGTTTTGGAGGGTTATATGTTGTCAATGGTCCATAAATTGATAATGAATGTGATTTAAAGAAGGCTTCACAGGGCTTGATTGTGTGGGCAAATAAGCGCCCTAAAGGCAATTTGGTGAAGTCCGATGGGCGCTAGTAGATCGCGCTGGGCCAGCGCGATCTACTAGCGCCCGTGGTACTTGGAAACATTTTTTGAAAAGCAGCCGCTTTTTGGCAGTATTTCCCCCATTGCTTCACCAGTTTTTATCCATATAGCACATATTATATATCATCAGAAAGCTCTTCACAAGGTCTACAACGTGGTGCCATTACATTTGATATTGTTCTGGAATTGGGACATAAGAAAAAGAAATACTTCAATTGTAGTCTTTCAATCCAAACATGGGGTAGATAAACTGAAGTTTCAATCACTCTAGTAACTGCCAATGATGAAAGATGTACAATAACAGATATGATGGCACTATAACATGTCCTATGTGTACACATAATTCCCCATCTAATACTTGATCAGCGTTCTCTCTTGGTGGGAATCGTTATAGACCCTTCACCACTACTAGCATATTGCTAGTAATGTATAGCCTCTCTTAGTGGCATATGGCATACAAATAATACCATCAGATTGTAGCTCTAAAAGGAAACTAAGGGTATACCACTTGAACTACACTATATCATGTGTTAAGGGACATAGCCTGTAGGCATAGTGGGCAGGGAGCGCCACACGTGCTGTGCAACCTAGGGTTACACAAGCACCCAGGGAGAGGCTTTACATGTGGTAAGGGTTGCAAT